GGCGACGGTTACCACTTTCCATCAGGTGGGCCGTCAGTCTGTTTGCCATTCTTAATTGTATAAAAAAAGCTGTGATATCATAATTTTAATATTTTCTAGATTATTTTAGACTAGTAATCCGATCCAGTTTCGCTCGGTTAGATAGAATTTTCGAAAATAATTTATAGCTTAGATTATATAGATAGAGCATCGAGTCTCAAAAACGGGCCAACTTTTTGTCAAATTAGCTAACTCGTTTTTTATCAGTGTTCTATATAATGTATCTTGACGTATTTATATTTAATTATTTAATAAATAAAATGAGTTTTTATGCATTAAAAATATGCAAAAATAATAAAACCAAAAAAACATATCTCTTTATACTTTTTTAATACATATATATATGTGGAATATGGAATAATACTCATAACTATTTATCACGCAAAATTGTATGAAAAAGTTAACCCGCTTTTCTAGAAGTATTTGTATGGAGACTCTCTATCTACTGATAATGGGTGGCTATTCATAACATTTGAATTTGGAATGACGAGGTTTTTTAAATATAGAACAGTACAAATAAATTCTTGTAAACATTTTTGATGAAACGTCAATTGTTGCCAATTATATTTAATTTTATTGTAAATCGAATTTTCTAGTTATCAACAAAATTAATGTTACTTATAGGGAAAATATTTTAGGAATACAATAAATATCTAACTATCAAGAGATATGTTTGTTGAAATTGATAATTATTATTTGAATCAATAAAAAATATGTTTTTTTTATACAACTTAGAATGGCAAACAAGCTAACGACCCACCTGATGGAAAAAGGTAAACGTTGCCTATAGACATGAGCAGTACCATGGACATAACAGAGTATACTATTTTGCCCATGACACCCCCCATGCGTTGCCATTCCTAAGGACTCAGGTGTTATTCCTCTGTATCCTGTAAATTCACGCCATATCCCACCCTTCAAACCGAAATATAAAATTAAAAAAATAAGGTTCTTAATTTGATTGTATTTTTTTTTCTATTTCTTACCCTAGAACTCCGTCATTTATAACCAATTAAAAAAAAATTATCTGGATGGGCACACTTTCAGAGTGGTCTTATAGAAATCTCATCAAAATCGACTCAACACTTTTGTTTTTAAATTAAAATAACTGGTTTTTTCACAATGAAACGAGTTTTTTTTTTGGAACAAAATCTTAAATTATCATGAAACATTTAATTAATATCATCATCTTTGAATAACGACGCTCGAAGTGGAGCCAAAGTAGGTAAGTATAAACCTACCCTATGAAAATTTCTTTTAAATAACACAATCTAAAATGAGCGTGTTACCTTAGCAACTAAGAATTCGCCATTGTAAAATTAAGGTACAAAATAAAATCCCTTTGAGATTCGAATCGATATCTCTTCAAGTATCTATATTAAAAGATCCCTTAGCAACATCGCCTTGTAAATAAGTAACTGTAAACACGATACTTGGAGAAATCTCTCTTTCTAAATACTCTTATTGTGTAACTTCAGAATATTATGATTTATTTGTAAAATATTTATTTATTTATTTAACTATTAGTACATGTATGTGTACATGGCGGACTTAATGCTAAAAGCATTCTCTCCCAGTCAACCATAGGGAAGTGTCAGAATACTCAAATGCGGTACTAGTAATAATTGATATACATACATACTAAACGAATAAATATATGTAAATAACAAATACATGGACACATGTATGAAATATAATAATGTATAATAATACATGAAATTGAGAATAATATAAAGTACTTACTCGAATAAAGTAAAATAAGTGAGCATGAACGTTTTTTTTTAAACTGTTTAGTCGGTAGTCTCTTAATATATGTATATATTAAATCTACTTACTTGTTAATTCTCTTCATAAAACCAAATTCATGTCTTACTCTTTTACTCTACAAACTTCACGACTCTGGAACTCATTGCCCAAAGGCATATGTGCCCTCTCTATTAAATTTGCTTTCAAAAAGAATATTTAGATTCACCTATTCACGCCATATCCCACCCTTCAAACCGAAACGTAGCCATGCAAACACAACTGCTTCACGGTTGAAACACGAATGGGACAGAGGTACCCAAGCAATCGATTTTTGTACAAAGTCTTCCTCTGGTGAAACATATTTATATGTACATGTATATATTTATATTTTATATGTACGTATTAATATATAAATACTATATTAACATGCATGTTTATTTTATGAATGTTTGTATGTATGTAATTTGCCTTCTTGCTCTCTGCACATCCTAAAGGTTGATTAGTAGAGAATGCAATAAATTGTGGTACAAAAGGCGGACTTAATACTATCATAAAGTCCTTCTTTCGTACCACACTTTATTGATCAATAAAGTTTAAATAAATAAATCTTAAATATAAATATATAAACTCTTTTTCAAAAACTGTTCACCGTCTTTAGTTTTGTATCCTAAAGATCTTAAAGATTTCAAAAAGCCTCCAAAAAGTTAGGAGTGTTCAATAGAGTAATATGGTATTTCACACCGGAACACCGTTTATGGTGTATTTTTCTAACCTATGGGCAGGAGTGCCATACTGGTAGTATCCTCCTCGTTCCGTTAGACTGCATTCAAAGTCAGACGGCTCGAATTATTGATGGTCAGCGCCTTACTGGCCGGCTCGACTCAATGAAACTGCGTAGAAATGTTGCATGAGTGCTCTGAGAAATTGTTCAGATTGATACCTGCTGCTGATTTTCACCACCGTACAACACATCACAAACTAAAGTTTCATCCCAACTAACTGGATGAGTGGCGGTCTTCAACCGTGCGTTTTTCAAGGCACTTTCTTCTACGCTGTTCTTTACTGTTTCGAATCAACTTCCAACACAAGTATTTTCGAACCGATAGGACATCACAACCTTCAAGAAAATAGCATATTCCTTTTTAAAAGGCCGGCAGCACACCTGCAATGCCTCTGGTATTGAGAGTGAACATAGGCTCGTTTGCCCCCTGTGTTGTAATAAAAAACTTGTTTTTAAACCACTGGGGTGGTAAACAAGCATACGGCCCTCCTGATAGTAAGCGGTTACCGTAGCCTTGAATAACTTTCAATTTTAATTGTTTTCTTTATTTTTATTTAAACAAATTAACAAAAATGACAATAAATGTATTTTTTTATGATCCTTCTATCCAATTAGGAATGCAATATAAAGCGTTGTTTTCCAAAACTTGTTCTTATCAATACTGACCAAACTTGAACAGAATTTAAACAGAAAAAAAACTGACGATTACGCAAATCAATTTGCTATCATTCAGCGGCTATGAACACCCTCGCACACTGTCACATAGTTCCAATCTATGTCCGTCAGGATCCCAATAAGGCACCGCAATTTCCGTCGCGGACCAAGGGTCCGACTCAACGACTCGCTTTATACGATATCTGAGCGAATATAACAGTTTTGGAGTCTTAAATTGTGTTTGACGGAAACTATAACTAACTGACCTTTAGATAGAGATCATTTTTATTGCAAAAAAAAACCTTATTCAGATTAAACGAAGGTCACACTCAGTCTGGCTTTTTATGTATTTGCACATTATAATGAAAAATACTTTATTTGGTAAAAAATAGACGAATAAAGCAGCTTAGGTATATATTCTTTTTATACTTGATATATTTAGTAAACAATAGTTACGCCTGTAGTTATTGGGGTAAGCAGGAACAATAGAATGCCAAATGCTTCGATTCAAACGATTCGATTCATTCGTTTCCTCCACATTGATCAATCTTGTCAAACACGCTCGCCGGTTATGAGTAACTATTAATGCAACCTTTCTTCAGCATATCGCCTATTTGTACGATATATGTACGTCCGTCTAGGACAACCTCTATCGAATTCTCCCCCCATTTGCGCTCGATAAATCTTTTTCGTCATTCTTCTTTGATCCATTCTTTTGATCCAAGTGGCCAAACCGCATCAAAATCAAATTTAGATATTTAAAAACAAAATACACATCTACATATATAATAAATTACTTATTTTAACTTTCAAGAATAATTAGTACTTACGTCAATCTCAACGGCTTAACTAATAACTAAGAAATTTGGTATAAACGTACTTTATGGGTGGAGAAGAATACAAGCTACTTTTTATTCTTGTCAGTAAATATATCCCGGTCACGCGGACGAAGTCGCAAGAAAAAGCTAGTAAGTGAATAAATACAACATTTTAATCACTCATATATAACTTACTTTTTTTTTTTCAATAAGATACATAATCATACTATAATGAACTTGATAGTCTAGGGATGAACAGTAGAGTCCCTCTTAAAACATCACCAAGATCTAACTGCAGGTGCCAACTCGCCTGCCAAGCATGGCAACTACTGGCAAAATGCCCTAATAGGGGAAGGTCGATATTCAGCAATGAAGATAGACACGAATATACATATATATTGTATATAGGCCAAAAGTAATAATACAATAATTAACAAATTGCCTCCAATTTGCTAGAGTTTCTTCGGATGGTCACAGAGTGTTTGTGTTCAGAAATTTTGACTCTTATATTTTTTTCTAGTTAAGATAAATCTTTTTAACATTATTCCTTTTAATTATGTATTTTTTTATATATGTTATTGTATTGATACTTTCCTGGGCTACGTTCTGTATTGAGAGACTGTAAAGCTTATTCTGTCATAAAAAATTATATTCTTTTAAAGGATTATTTAAGTGAAGAATCTGAACATTTTCTCAGAGAAATGTCTAAAATTTTTAACCTCTTAAACGTTTCATGTCAATAAAGAAGGCTCAAAATTTTACCATATCAAAAAAATAATATTTCTTAGCGGGTAAAATAACGCAAAATAATTGATAAATATCAATATTTTTTAAACATTGGTTTCTGTATACTGCTCTTCAAACTAAGTTCACATCAAATTAAACATCACAAAACCTTGCTCCGGCGAATTGAGCTACATTATTGGCATACACGATATTACAATCATATATTTTCCCCACAGGAATGGAACGACTACAAATTAAAATGGAATCCAGATGACTACGGGGGAGTCGACACATTGCACGTGCCTTCCGAACACATATGGCTCCCAGACATCGTTCTTTATAACAAGTAAGTTACATACGTGACTCTATTTCAACAAAGAAATCTCAAACTCACTGATTTTAAGCTTTTAAAGTCTTAATTCAAAATGCGAAGACACGAGTACAGAGTTACAAGAATATTAGGTTTAGAAAATAAATGCGAGTATTATTTTTAATTTTATTGCGATACTTTGTTACGGGTGAAAATAAGTTTATGCGGAAAGAAAAATGGCTATTTCATTCATGACAAAATGAAACTTATACAGAAATAAAGAAGAAAGGAGAAGTAAAGTTCTTGAGTTGTCGCAAAAGCAGTGTACGATCCTCCATTAGATGGAATGACGACCTCAAATGCATTTCAGAAGGTCAGTGGATGCAGGTGGTCAATGATCGTTATTTACGGTAGTCTATGGGGGAGACCTATATTCAATAGTGGACAGATGGCAGCTGATATGATGATAATGATTAAATAGTGTAAATCGGTAATTGGTTTTAAGTACTAAAATAATACTACATTATTATAGTTTTTATGAACTGTGAATTTTGAAAAAAAAAATAAAGGATAATAACATTAATAACACATACTCGTAACTATCAATTTTAAAAAGATATTGTTTCCAAATTAACAAAGACACTACCCTGATACAGAATACAATCAACCAGAAAACGTCATTCATTTAAAGTCATTTAAAAATTTATTAAAAGAATTTTCTTTGTATTATCATTTATTACTTCTTTAGTAATAATTACTAAATTAGGATTAATTAGGAGTTTAATAAATTTTAACTAATCTTCCTAAATTTCTGATAAATAATAACCATATAGTCATATCGTCATAGTCGTAGAATACTGACGGATCTGACAAATATTACGTATAAAGATCCGTCGGTATTCTACGACTATGACGATATTATGAATATTTATTGCCCACTAACAAACATAAGTTACATGTTAGAGTAAAGATAGGTCAGAAATAGACAGGATTTATGATAAGACAAATTGGATATGTACAAAATATTTATATTAAAAAAAAAAATCTAACGTTTGAAATCCCCTAATAAAACCGTACTATAATATTACCTTTTCAATGACTAGTCGAACAGTTAAAAGAAGGTTTGTAACCCCCAATCGTCCACCCCAAACATTAATCTCACTCAAACTGTGTTTACTATGGAATCAATTTGAGAAACTTCCTCGGTGTCCCGCGTCCCGTCTCACTCGCAGTATCCCCCATTCCTTTCAATGTAACCTAACTTTTCTTTACAAACAGCCATAAACTCTTCTTCTATTAGGTGGTGGTCTTATCTCCTTATTTTCTGGGAGTTATCCCATTATTCTGCATTATCATGACGACTCGGCGAGAATATCGCGGTAACTTTAACCGAACACAAAATCTAAAGTTGAACTTCGTTCTTTTAGTTTTTTAGTTTAAATAAGATTTAGATATATTGGTAGTGAAACTTTTAAGAAATTATACGATGTCTTTACTCTAAATATAATTAATTAATTGTCTAATATTGATACTCGTTCTCAATTAGTCCTCTTCCAGTTATTGAATGGTAAATACTAAGAACATTTCATTTCACAGAAAAACGGCTTCTTCAGTCATGACTCGTGATCATTTTGAAAATAAATTATACCACCGAACAACAAGCTATTTCTTAGATACATTAAAATATTTGGAATACAGTTTAGTACTATACTACTGCCCACTCACTACTTCCTATGCCACTGTTAGGTTGACTGGAAGAAATCTCTTTTAGAGATATAAGTTCACCTTTGCTAACATTGTTATTAACTTTTTGTTATTACTGTATATTTTAGTGCAATAATATATATGTGCTTGGGTACCTCTGTCCCATTCATGTTTCTACCGTGAAGCAGTTGTGTTTGCATGGCTGTATTTCGCTTTGAAGAGTAGGATATTGGGATATGGCGTGAATTTACCGGGTACAGAGGAATAACACCTGAGTCCTCAGGAATGGCAACGCATAGGGGGTATCATGGGCGAAACAGTATACTCTGTTATGTCCATGGTACTGCTCATGTCTATAGGCGACGGTTAGCACTTTCCATCAGGTGGGCCGCCAGCTTGTTTGCCATTCTAAGTTGTATAAATAAAAATAAAAATATACAGAATCGTGTAACTGTCAATGCTAGATTTCAAAGATGCGATCGATAGAATCGCCTGATGATGGCACGTTTAATTTAGATATTAAGGTGAAACACGTGTTGCAATATGGATGTAAACTTAATACCTAACAATGGCAAATTGACACCCAAAAGAACGTCTAATGGTATACAGTTCCCCATAATAAATATTGCTGTTCTTGCTGATACTAATTGTAATAGAAATAAACAAAATAATAATAATCCAGTGACCAATATTATAGACTTCCTTAAGATAATACCTAATACGATAAAATGTTATTTTTGTCTCACAATATATCTACATGTATGGGGAAATATGAATAGTATAGCATTCAATCCATATAAATCTACATTAGGTACAGTCATTACTTTCCTGGCAGTGGTTCAAGACAATAAATCGATGGGCGTTCCGTACCAGGCCGCATTTCTATGAAAGACAAAAGCGTTTTTATTTGAATACCAGAAAGTACAATATAGAAAAAGTGAATTTGAAATTAAATTAAAAGAATATCGCGCTATAGTAATCACTATAGATGATTGGATACGATTTGTCATGAAATTAACTGCATTATAAATGAAATTGCTTACAATGAATTAATACTTATTATAATAATAATTAATTTAAGGTTTAATGGATACCACAGTATATTCTGTTATGCCCATGGTACTGTTCATGTCTATAGGTGACCGTTACTACTTTATAAACAGGTGAGCTGTCAGCTTGTCTGCCTATCTAAGTTACAAAAAAAAAGAAAAGGTATTTTAAGCCTATAAATAAAAATAGTAAATAATTATGATTTCACCGTGTCGGTCCCGACATAGAATGGGCCACCTTCCCGCGAGTGTCGTAAGAGTTGACTAAGGGAGGGCGAGGGATAGGCAGCAGCGGCCCTCTTAAAATATTTCTAAAAACCTAACTGCTTGTCAACCCGTCTGCCAAACGTGGCAACTACTAGCAAAACTCTCCTTATAGGGAATACTTATGTTCAGCAGTGGACAGTTAATGGCTGAAATAATAATAAAAAAAAATTAATGTTTTTTAATTAAATTTTATTTGCGTTAGACTGTTCTACAGAATCTTATGTTGGCCATATAGTATCATAACAGTTTAATTAAGTAAATTGAAAGCGTGCACAAATTTCAGTAACTATATTGAAGAATTTCTTTACGTGTTCTAGAATTTCTGTTAATTAAATTAACAACTAATGATAATAGCTAAAACATTGTTTTTCTATGTTACATGTGGACAAATATCGAAACAATACAGATAAATCTAATATTATTCAGTTTTTTTCTTCTTCTTACATCACAGACATCACATTAATTTTTTTTTATCAACTTAGAATGGCAAACAAGCTGACGGCCCACCTGATGGAAAGTGGTAACCATCGCCTATCGACATGAGCAGTACCATGGACATAACAGAGTATACTGTTTCGCCCATGATACCCCCCATGCGTTGCCATTCCTGAGGACTCAGGTGTTATTCACACATCACATTAAATACAGCAAAACCTAATCTATAAACATTTTGATTAAATATGTAGTTTAATTGTATTAAATTCTCGCTATGTCGTACCTCAGGAAATGAATTATCACCATCATATCGTAGTTAACATAACAGTCATAACAGTTGTTATGTGTCTATTGCTAAACATAGGCCTCCCCCATAGACTGCCATAAGAAACTGTCCCGAGCCACTTGAATTCGTTAACTCTCTGCAATGCATTTGAGGTCGTCTCGCCAACTCGTGAGAGACTGTTCTTTAATGCATTTACCTGTATGCGATTACCTTTCAAGAATCTTTCGTTTTCATCTAATATTGATTCTTTTAGCTAAGCAACTAGCCCATTGCCAATTTAGCTTGCTTATCTTTCGGACTATGTCAGTCACTTTAATTTTTCTGCGGATTTCATTCATCACTGATCATTTCTGATTCTATCATGTAAGGAGTTTTCTTGCATAGCTTTTTCCATAGTTTGCTGTTTGTGTAGTAACTTGTAAGTTTTTCGTAAGAAAAATCAATCATAATTATAGGTAATCCGCTGAAATACTGGCAGTGCTACTAAAAAGCAGCTCTTAGTACATAAATGATGGTAACAACACAATTTCAAAACGACGCGTACTCGCAACGTCGCCCATTATCGGTAGCAGCTCACCGCACTTATATGCATTAACGCCTCCAACCCCCACCTAGATGGCTTTTAGAGCTTACCCCTTTTGAAATATGGTTGATATTTAAATGGTAAATCTCTATCTAACTAGAGCAGAGAATGCGCCCGGAGTTGGCCAGGCGGAAGGACGGAAGATAAGTGCTGTCTTTAATCTAAATACCATAATAGTAGGTAAAGCGCCACGATAAACATTTTACAGTTAATTTGATCATCGACATTATAAAGTAACAATGGAATTCCTTAATGGTCACTAGGCTGGGTAGTTTATCTGTCTTTACCTTCATTAAACTGAAAGTGTATTTGAATTGATTGTCTTCCAATCGAATGAGGTACAATTATTAGAAATCATTTTACCAATTAGTCAATTAGTGGTAAATAAATTGGAGATGGTAGGGAATTCAGTCATTACTAGGAGTTAATAGAGAATTAATAGGAGATATTATTAAGAAATATATCCTACTGATTAAAAAAAATAAGTTATTGATTCAATATCATCAATCAATGCACATAATAAAATCGTATGTGGTCGCTGTCTGTACATGGAAGATATATAAGAAAAACTATTATAGGTGGGCTTTATGAACACAATTGGACCCAAAACAATGATTAGAATTTTCGTCTGTTTGTATTTAAATTTGTGCGCGCGACAACCAATTTAAATATGGTTCCCCCTAATGCTTTGTTTTCTCCATTTAAAATTAAACTTCTTTTTTTATACAACTTAGAATGTCAAACACGTCAGCTTGTTTGCCATTCCCCTCCACCCACCTGATTGCAAGTGGTAACCATCGCCTATAGACATGAGTAGTACCATGGACATAACAGAGTATACTGTTTCGCCCATGATACCCCCCATGCGTTGCCATTCCTGAGGATTTAGGTGTTATTCCTCTGTACCCTGTAAATTCACACCATATCACCCTTCAAACCGAAACACAGCCATGCAAATATAACTGCTTCACGGTTGAAAGACGAATGGTACAGAGGTACCCAAGCAAATGACTTTTGTACAAAGTCTTCCTCTGATAAAAATGTCTGTTTTATTTCAATCGATACATAAATTAAATAAAAAAGGTTATATCAATCTAAAGAATCACATATAAAATACTATAAAATAACAGATCAGTTGAATTGGCTGAAACTTACGAAGGTAGGTTATATATCCTATTTTGACTTATAGGATATTTTATATACCGATTCACGCGGACAGCGCCACGAGAAATGGTTAGTTTGTTAATATATCGCTTAACATGCAAAAATAAAAAACATAATTGCAAATTTCCTTTTAGTAGACTTTTAATGACTTAGTCAGAAAACTATTCTATAATCTATTAGAACCAAGCAAGAATAGATTATTTTCTAGTTAATATAAATTATTAATTATTATTATTATTAAAATTGTAAAATGTAACTCTTATATTTGAATAATAAAAAGAAAATAAACATATGAATAATAAATGTGGAAAGTACATGAAAATGTCACTTAAAATTTCTCTATACTCCTGACACAAAGTCAAACTACCCTCTTAGTGCTATAATATTCGTGGACATGGCAGTAATATTTTTAAATTTAAACAGATCCAGGTTACACTTTCGCGCACCTGCTTCCTCCTTAAAAGCTCCTCGAATATTTGGTGTTAACTTTATTTTTAATGGCACCACGTTAGCTTAATGGAAGTGAACGTGACCTATTTTGCGAGACAATTTTCATGAATGAGCACAAGTTGGTTATGACAAAGCTTTTACAAGCATCAACGTCGGAATTTTACAAGACTGTGATGCTTTCATGTTTTATTGCGTTAGTGTAAACATTTTTTCATATTATTTAGTTGAGTTATTTTGGTGTGAGCACTTTTTTAGTACAAAGGTAGTGTTACTATTTATTTTTATATATTTAATTTTTATTATTAAACTAGCTTCTTGCCCGCTACTTCGTATGTGCGCATTTCAGAACTAGGAAAACCAATATAATTTAGTATTTCTAAATGGCGTGCCGAGATAAAACATACACTTAAAAAACTTAAGATCTTTAAGTTAGACCGCATCCAATTTTACGCAGTAGTTTTTGCTTGATGTCATAATAAACAATTCTAACCGCTTACCATCAAGTGGGCCACATGCTTGTTTGCCACCAAGTCTCTATCAAATTTTTTTTGGGTTAATAAAAATTAGACAGAGAGACAGACAAAATATCTAAAAATTATCCGTAGATGCCAAAACATTTAATTTAATAATTTAATTACACAATAATTGGTTTTTAGGACCTTTCACATCAATTTTCTTAAGTACCTTCTATCTACAGATATTGTCTTATTTGAAACATTACCTAGTAAGATAACGATTGATAAATTGCACGAACTAAATAAATAGACAGACTTATTAAATATTTTATCATATAATTAAAACAAATAAGTACTACAAAATTAATTTTACTAGGTTTTGATTCAGTATAACCATCACAACAAATAGTAACTTCACTCTTGAATGTAAATCACTCTTCAAAATTTATAAGTATTTTTTTTTATACAACTTAGAATGGCAAACAAGCTGACGGCCCACCTGATGAAAAGTGGTAACCGTCCCCTATAGACATGAGCAGTACTATGGACATAACAGAGTATACTGTTTCACCCATGATACCCCCATGTGTTGCCATTCCTGAGGACTCAGGTGTTATTCCTCTGTACTCAGTAAATTCACGCCATATTCCACCCTTCAAACCGAAACACAGCCATGCAAACACAATTGCTTCACGGTTGAAACACAAATAGGACAGAGGTACCCAAACAATCGACTTTTGTACAAAGTCTCCCTCTGGTGATATTAATCAAACATTAGCCAAAAACTGGTTAATTCATTAGAATTATTTTAATTTCGCTACAATTAGTATGCGTGGGTCTGCCAAACATTTAAAGATTGACTACTATTACGTACATATCTGTCACGCCTGTCTCCCATTATGGTACTCAACTACTAGCCACACAATTTAATATATGTTTTGATTCCAAGTTTATCTTCTCGTGTATTGTATTTACATAACATTAGTGCCTCCTTATCCTGAAAATAAATACAAAATCCTGAATATAAATCCTGAATATAAAATCCTGAATACAATCCTGAATACAAAATCCTGAATATAAATACAATAAGCATATAAACCAATCAAAACGATTGGTTTATATGCTTATTGTAAAATATTTACTTTAATTATTTATTAGCTTTGATATTAGCCACAATTACTGTTTATATCAATCTAATATCAATGTAACCACGTGTCAAAGCATAAATGATTACATTCAGATAATTATTAGAACATAAGCCATACTACTGCTGAACTATAGTATCTCTATCTGTAATTACATCCTATTATGTTTCTATATCGCCATGTCGGACCCGGCATAGAATAGGCCACCCCTTCCTTTCCCGTTAGTACCATAAGAGACGACTAAGGGAGCTTACGATAGAGGGATGGGCAGCAGCGTGCCTCTTAAAATATTTTTAAAAGCCTAAATGTTATACATATTTGTATACATGAGGTGTGGTTAGAAGTTTCAATTCATACTAAATGTCAAGAGCTATGTATATATTAAATAGTTAAATTTTTGGCAACACAAATTATATGTATATAAAGTAGGATTTTAAATTAGCTGATCTCTTTAACTTTACCTGGACACATCGAGAATTACTTGATAAAATATATATAAATATATATAATTAATAAAATAATAAATTGTTTATAATTATAATTAATAAATTGTTTAATTAAAACCAATAATTAAGGAAAATAATTAATTCTTAATATAGAAAATTCTAAATTTTAAATTCCATTTATTAATAGAATATGTATTATCAAGTCAATAAATGTAATTATTCATCCACAGTGCGGACGGTAATTACGAGGTGACAATCATGACAAAAGCAATTCTACATCATGATGGGAAGGTAGTGTGGAAACCGCCCGCCATCTACAAATCCTTCTGCGAGATTGACGTGGAGTATTTTCCTTTTGATGAGCAAACCTGTTTCATGAAGTTCGGATCTTGGAGCTACGATGGGTACACGGTAAGTGACTATGTGACGATTTATCATTGTTTGTTAAATCCCTATCTCAATATCTAAGTTTTTATATTTGGAACATTTAAAAATTCGCTTCGTGATTAGAAGAATTCGTAAAACAACGTCCAATAAACTACATCAGAGAAAGACGCAAAGTGCAACACGCAAGTTTCTTGCTCGTTCTTCTTGTGATGAGACAGCTTTCCGAACGAGCGGTAGATTAAAAAAAATGTAATGACTTTTCAAAAGTGCTTCAATGTAAGTTTATTTGAATAAATGATTTCTATTCTATTCTATTCTATTCTATTCTCAGAATCAGATGCCTTCAAACAGCGACACCTTCACACGAGTAGTAATAGTAATATTGTTTATCTCTCTGATCTTTCTGATTTAGTCCTGACTTTTTCTGGACTTCATCGTAAAGTATTCAATATAATCTTTTTACACACATACATATATAATTTGAGTATATTGTATGATTTCCCTAAAGAAGTTTAAAAATTTACTGTAATTTTATCAATAGAATATTAATAAATAAATACAAAAATAGGAAATAACATTACAATTTTAACTGTAAAACTAACCGGATCGATTAAAGGTCCCGAAAAAGATAGTCCCGAAACTAGTCGAGCATTCACGACTAAAATACACCTAAAGTAATACGGTTAATTTTACAGTCAAAATATAATAGGTACCTATGACAGTTTTAACAATAAAGTTACAATTTATAAACAAAATTACAAAAATGAACAATAAAATTAAAATCGTGGTACATCCTAGTATTCAGCAAAACATAATAATAGCTTAGTTTGTCTTTGATGAAATCGGATACTTTAAAATTACATTCTATTAAATAAACAAATCCAATTAAATTAATGATAAAATAGACACTAAAGTAAAACTGAAAATTATGAAATAAAATAAAAAATTAAACATTTCAACGAATAACAATTCAGACATAAATATTATTGCAGAAAACGCTTAGAGGCGGGATGTAATCGAAATTCCACATTACAAAAGCCTTTTCCCAATATCTACCAAGTGAAATATTTCGGGTCGCAATAAATAATATGGACAATGAGATATTCGAAGCAATAGACGGGAGTGATAAAAAGTTTCCCAAGCAGTTTACAGCAATAGGCTTTGAAGAAGACAGCTATACACCGATACTAGGAAGCTAATAAATCAGTGCGGTTCTTTGCACATAAATAAAGACGCAACCTTAGTCTGCACCTTAAATCGTTTATATTAAGGCTCACTTGGGATTCGTAACTATCTATCTCAGTCACATCCTTACCGTTAGTCGAGACAACAGCAACTTGATTCTAAAAAACAAAGTTTTAATATTTAATTTCCATCTACATCTTTATTTAAAGACAGCTTAATTTCTTTATACAAGTTAATTTAAAGTTCAATTTGCTTAAAATAATACCAGCCAATATTATTCGATTAACAAGAAATACAATATTGCCATTTCCTGCTAATTATATAGGCAGTTACTTACTAAGAGTTTGCAGATTTTATAGTTTGTACCATAGTGCAAGAGTGATTTATAAGGTTTTAAAGATATAACGTAGTAATCCAAAATTCTACTGCTTTTTGATATTTTGTAAAATTAAGATCGTTTTGTATCCTTTAATGTTTATTTTGTTAAAACATATAACATCAAACTTTATTTCAAATTTATAGATACAGAGCACTTAAAATATATTTATTTCGTTTTGATAATTTTCTAAGCGATTGATTTCAAACTAATTACAGAAATTACAACATAATTACGATTACGAATATATATCATTACTTTTTTTATTTATTATTATACATCATTCTTTCATAACATCATCATGTACTTCAGAAATCTGTTCAGAGTACAAATGACCTTGCATGCTTAATTAATTTAAATAAAAACAGTAATTTGTCTAGCAACCTAGCATAATTAATCCAAATAACAACAAGTAAAAATTAATTTTATAAGGGATAATAATAATCTACCACAGAGCAAACCACTAACAGCGCTCTTTTACGAGTGCGATGAACAAGTTTCCAAGCACATTTTAGAGAGATCAACAACACCTATCACCTCGCCACTAGTCTGGGCAATATAATTAGACCACTTGTTTATACGATGCAAAATTTTATGAATAAATAACCACTCATTTGTTTGTTGGCGTTGTTTATCTCCGAATTTAATATAAACTTCAGAGTAAATCTTTATCAGGCTGTACCTCATACAATGTTTATTGAATAAGCGTCCCATGAATAACAAAGTACCTAAACCGATACTAATATAATAATAATAATATGACGTTCCTGGTACATCTACAGGTTAACATAATATTACAAACAGATTACCAGACAAATTACATTTATACAAAAAACATAGCACACAGTTATGCACTTGGCTTAGGCCCGTGTACACCTGTAAAACCGGTTTTAAGCCGAGATATCGTAAATTTAAATTAAAAATAATAATAATAATAATAATAATAATAATAATAATAAAATTTATTGCCATTCTTCACAAATTATAATGTACATAAATTAATTAATCAATATATTGTCCATTAATCGTATGCGCCTGGCAATAGGTACAAACTCAGCTTTTGCTGGACTGATGTTCGTTCAGCGCTGATTTTCAGTTTGCACCTACACGGGGCACCGTTTCATTATCAAATATATATATTGATGTAGATATTACATAAAAAATAAAAGAAAACAATACAAAAACTAAAATAAACAAGTATAAAAACAAAACAAATTATAAAGAGGAAAGGTTTGATTGTTTGTTCGTAATGAATTAACTCGAACAGTAATTAACCAAATTTAAAAAAAAAATCACCTATAAAAAGCTACTATACTTCTATTCAAGACTGTTGGAACTTTTCATCACTTTGTGAGCTTGTTTGCGTTTTAAAATTGTATAAATACGAGTATTTATTAGATTCGTTACTTATTCAAGGTTAGGTAATAATTTTGTTTTGTTATTTCATACAAAATTATATATTTTGTTATTTACTCGAATGACTCTGTAATGAATCAGAAAAAACAAAGGAAATATTTATCTAATTATTTTTTTGCAGGTGGACTTGAGGCACTTAAAACAGACACCAGATTCGGACCACATAGGAATGGGCATCGATTTATCTGAATACTATATATCAGTTGAATGGGACATAATGCGCGTTCCAGCTACGAGAAATGAAAAGTTCTACTCATGCTGTGAAGAACCATACCCTGACATTATTTTCAATCTCACTCTTAGAAGAAAAACCCTCTTCTACACAGTCAACCTTATCATTCCTTGTGTTGGAATCTCTTTTTTGTCAGTCCTTGTATTCTACTTGCCATCAGATTCCGGCGAAAAGATCTCACTCTGCATCTCCATTCTTTTGTCTTTAACTGTATTCTTCTTACTGTTAGCAGAAATTATCCCACCGACATCGCTGACGGTGCCGCTGCTGGGAAAATATTTGTTATTTACTATGATGCTAGTTACATTATCAGTAGTTGTCACTATCGTGGTGCTAAACGTAAATTTTAGGTCCCCAGTCACCCACCACATGGCCCCGTGGGTGCGCAAAGTCTTTATAGATTTTTTACCCAAAATATTGTGTATACAAAGGCCAGAGAAACCGCCCGACGATGACGATAACGATAAACCGACTGAGGTGAGATATATTGGATTAATAATACATCAACAACATAATAGAAATAAGAACCAAACATGGAACTACTCATATTTCCGTTAAACATCATTAATCGTATAACAAAACATGACGTTTATTCCAAATTGGCACATTTATACAAACGAACTGATAGCGTTTTAATTAAATTTGTAAAATAAAAGCCTTCACAAATAAAGTCTTCAGTGGGGATTCCTTTTAAAACGAAAAAACAACGCGCCGCCTTTCCTCGTTCAGTTTCCTTCATTCAAAACATTTTCCATCGGAGAGAATTCAATACAAACAGAACGCTATTACAGTGAAGTTGAAGCCGCCCTCAACAATAACCATTTTAATTGTCCTCAGTCGCGATACTCTTCTGGGAAACGCTCCTTTCAGCGATATTCTAAATCCATTGTACTCTGTGTGTATCGCGAAAATATCGCTTCCAGCCCAATTTCATTCCATTTCGATTTTCCTTTATTACTCAACGCCGGCGGGCTTAACGAGCACGAGCGGCCCCCGTTATTTATGTTCCCCTGGCGGCTGCGGACGGATCGCGCGATATACGAGCCAGTAGACGCCCGAAACCGAAACCTCCACTTCGGCCTAATTGTGTGCCGGCTTAAGCTGCGTGTCGATACACTGCCCTCGCGAAATGCCAATTGACGTTTTAATCTCTCTGTATTTCAGCGTACGGCAATATTAGCTTTTGAATTTGATTGTAGCTAGTTTAATTGTAACAGAAAGAGTAATTTCTATTAGAATTTATCAATGTTATTCATAAACCTCTGTGGTTTTTTAATGTTATTAATATTTTAAGGTCCTCACGGATGTCTTCGGTGGAGATGACATGGATGGAAAGTTTAAGGAATGGGGTTGCGAGGAATATGAACTTCCAGGTATGCCCCCTTCTCCGCCACCTCCGCCGGGGGGCGACGATGAACTATTTTCTCCATCCCCGGGATCCCCATGTCGATTGGACTTAGACGACGGTAGCCCATCTCTAGAGAAACCCTACGTGAGAGAGATGGAAAAGACTATAGAAGGTTCCAGATTTATTGCTCAGCATGTCAAAAATAAAGATAAGTTTGAAAGTGTAAGTTGCATTGCTTTTTTTTCTTTTATATTATTTTATGTTTTTTATCGAGCTAATGTGTTGTATTTGTTTTAGGTGGAGGATGATTGGAAATATGTAGCGATGGTATTAGACAGAATATTTCTGTTCGCATTTACGATAGCTTGCGTCCTGGGGACGGCGCTCATTATATTTAGAGCGCCAACCTTTTACGACAATAGCAAACCAATCGACATCCTATATTCAAAAATTGCGAAGAAGAAATTGGAGTTGCTCAAAATGGGCTCTATAGGAGACCCGGGTCTCTGAAATTCGTCTCACGTCTTCGGCCACCCGCCGCCGAAGACGTTCTGGGAGCTCATCGTTATGTGGTGGCATGGATGATCCATGTAAAGCTCCCAGTTGGGAACTGCTAGGCGAGGACATGTTTTTGTGCTCAGTGTGGTGCCAAGCGCCAGGTGCGCTATAGGACGTGTGAACGCCATAAGCGTAGCCAAAGCCGTCTTTTTATAATAGAAACTCGAACTCGAGACTGTGTCCGTCGATAGTGGAAGCCAGAACAAGGCAACCTGAAGACAACCGTTTTTTGTTATTGTCGGATCCTCCGCAACTATTTTTATAATTAGAAATGCTGTATTGACCGTTTATACTTTAAACAAATGCATATTTTGTATGTTTTCATCAAATACTTTCTTTTCCTGAATTATTTATCAACAGCGCACAAAGATTGTACAGTGTATCTTTAGGAGTTTGTATTATTTCTTGTAATGTGACAAAATCTATTTCATTTGAAATGATAGGTAACAAATGTTATGTACTAACAGTTACTTACCTATAAATATTTACTTCGAATAAATCGAGCTCAATTTCATAATGTTTAAGTATTGTAAATTGGTACTATTCAATCTAACGTCGATTAGCATCAAACATTATTATAATAGTTTTGTGCAAACGTCCTCTATGAGAGCCGGACATTCTAGATGTATTTAAATAATGGTGATGTAATTTTGAATTATACATTTAGTATTTGATAAACTACGTACTCGCGTAAAAATCATAAGGACAATATCGATAATATGACGAATGGTAATAATTCCCCTGTAGTTGTAATGAAGTTATAAGAAATTGTAGATATTTTTAGGTTTATAAGTCTAGTCATCAGTAATGTGAAAGAAACACTTATCATAATGCCAAAATAGTTTATAGAGTCACGTCGCGACGGTGATATTATTTGACTAGATATATTTGTGAAACACAATTGACTGCCAATTGTAAATTACATTTTTATAAAGTCGATATTCTTAGATAGTTCGGTAACTTGTTTTATTAGATTTTTTAAACGGTGTGCCAAATCTGCCAGCAGTAAACAATATAGTTCCCGATGATAGCCAAAGTATACTGGAGTTCTGTTAGTGTTTTATATACTTGATATTCGATACATTGTTTTAGATTTCGCTTAAAATTATATTGATTCTAACATAATCATAAGATACCAAACGAATGCTTGCCCAAGAGTAACGACTGAAAGATCTCACACTAAAACGCTTAATTTTGTATGCGCCTATTGCAAAGGAAGAGGCGTATCGTATTTCTTCCGTATGATTAATAATAACAGTAATTTCACTAATAAATCCTAGAGTACAGGGTAAATTTAGTACACAAGTTTCTTCTCCTGATTTATATTCTCACATATTTTCACCGATTGTAAAGTCTTTTACTCACTTATCGGCACTTAACCATTCACATTTTAGATAAGATCATTGTTGAGGTTTGTGACCTAGTCTGTAACGATTTAGGTAACCATATATTTATTTGTACCTAGATTAGATTCAATATTTAGACACCTATTTCATTTTGGTTACACTTAAGTGTTACATTGTTCACGTTTCTATAAATAGTTTGTTTAGTAGTTCGTACGTTTGAATATTATTTCAAACACTTCACGCATCATAAGCGTTTTTACCTCACTTCGACCCATTTTATAGGGTATTGTAGCAGTCTAACGTAATAAAAAAAAAATATTTCGAGCCGCGTATTTGATATGTCAAAGTAACTCATGATAATGTTTATTAGATAAAAATTACTTAGATAAATCAGTAAATTATGAAATCCACAGCGAGCAGATAGGAAAACAGGGATGGTTATATTGAAAATAAATCAAATTGTTTTGTGTGATTCGTCTTCATATATATAAGTGTTATTGGATGTGTATAGCTGTTTGTGTCTGATAAATGCATACACTGGGCTAGTATAGTTTAGATGATACGTAAACGTAGTTTAACATACGTTAATACGGTCTAATGTGTTAGACGAAGTTGTGAAAAGCTCGCTAAAGGTTGAAACTAAAATGTTAGCTCCGTCTCTGGGAAACTACTCGTATTTGGACTTCGTTTAGTAAGGCTCTAATTATATCAGGTCCTTCAATGGAATTTTGATGGAATTGTGTATAACTGAATGATTGCTAATAATTAATTTTCTAATAAGGATTCACAGACACGTCGATTATTGGAAGTAGGAATGTGCTATTGCACGCACCGAAACACACCAATTTAGTGTTATTGATAACTATTATCTTTAAAGGCTAGTTAAGTCCACAGGCTTCCCACATTGTTTCGTGGTCATCTGAACTTTTATTGTAGATATTTGCTAGAAAATGGACGGGTCTGTTGTTATTTTTATATGACTGCAAATGATAATAGATTTTCTAATAACACCATAGGATTAATGGTTGTTTAGGAATGAGTGTTACGGTTAACATTATTATTAGCCGGGGTGATTGATTGGGATGTTAAAAATAAGCTGAATTGAATAAAAATATATATTGTAAATATCTCTATTGAGGAGAGTCTGAAATATGGAGCTAAGATTAGTATTGTAATAACTGTGGATTTTAATACCTATACCTAGGCAATATCAATAAACCTGTCTCAATAAAGGCAACGTAGTACTTGTAAAAGGCCAGGAAGTGTTTTATACAATTAAAATATATTCCTAAGTTCTAAAACAGGACGAGCTAAGCCGATACAACGAGTAATGACCCTAAAGATTTGTAGTGTGTATGAAATTTGATAAACATGAAAATAATTTACCAGCTCTTACAACTTATTCTTTTACCAACACCAATTCTGAAATTTGTATGACCGAATTAAAATTACTTCGTGATATGTTTTCTTATATAATTGTTGCTTACGTCTCAAAGACATACACAATAAGGTTTATTATTACTACTTCACTTGTTTTAGAAATTGTTATTTCGTTATTAATATTTAATGGTTTCTCATTAATTAATGTTGTTAATAAAATGTACGTTTCGTCTAAATGTCTATGTAATGATTCGGGTGATAAACGGGTAAGCAGCAGTAGTGATTATCGTATATCTGAACGGTAGATAGGTAATAAATTTAATAAACTGAACAAGCTAGGTCAACACTCGTCAATAAGTAAATTAAATGGGTACTTGTATTAATTGTAAGTGGTATTAAAATTAGCTTCTCAGTGTTTTTTAGAGTTAGTCGACGAATGGGTCAGCTCAAAAACGCGGTGTCAGATAAATTTGTTACTATACGAATAACAAACAGTATATCTTTATTTTTTTTTTTTATAATTAAAGAATTAATTTCAGTAAAGCTTGCTTTTGTTTAATATCAATCATTTCGTACATTCATTTTATTTTCCCGATATACATTTTTTACAGAAGTTAACATTATTTAATTGAAAAATATTATTTTTACAGAATCTATTAGTAAATGACCATTAATTTATTTGTAATATTTATATTTATGTGCTAATAAAGATTTATGTATAATTTTCTTTCAGTTCAGTTTTCTTTGAAAAAAAATCTCCATCCTCAACTTTAAAGGAACGATACTCAGTCAAGGCAATATAATATTGAAAAGAAGTTAATTCGAGTTTGGTATTCAGGGTTGTCGCATAATATATTTAAAATCTAGTTTCTCTCTTCACTGAGTATCGTATGCTTGAGGACAATTGATTAGTATGATCAAACGCAATTTATTTAGTTTTTATATTAAACAGTGTCTATATGTTTAATATTGATCGATATTACGTTAGTTTATCTTCGAAATAGATCAAAGTATATGTTAACAAGTTTGTCTGCATCGGGTTGTGGAGTTGCAAACTCATAGTCAGCTATCACATGGCTGTCAATAATTTTAAGGAATCAACTTAACCGAAATGTTGACATGTAAATATAGCAGATCAACATAGAAATTTAAATAATATTATAATTGACAAGTTATTTTTCTACATTCCTTTCACAGTACCTTTAGCGCTAACGTAGCATTGTAGAGTGGACGTAGTAATATATAATATTATGTTAACACGTTTATTTCTAGATATATAATATTCTAATACAAAATGTCATACAGCAATAAATTTTCCGATCATGTATAATTTATTTCATATTGTCATATATTTATTTATTTATAATCGTTAATTGTACGAATAACTTTAAAGCTTGCTTTGACATCAAAGTCGGTATTAAAACAGATAATCCGTGACGCTTTATAATTAGGTTCATTCGAAATCTAGAATTTCGTATAGCTATTTATTCGATAACACCTTTATATTTGCTTTATTGCACGTTATATTTTGTTTACCTTCCTTCCTTTTTCAATGTTATCTCACTTTTATATCTACATAATATTAAATACTCTATATACCATATTATAAATATCTATGTAAGTTAGGCGTATTTGCATGTTTAATCGAACGTCTTCCAAAGTGACGTATGTTATAATTTCTCATATTATCATTTATCTTTACGCATAAAATATTTATATCAATAATTCTAATGTATCTACTTCTTTTGAAGATTTCTTCATGATTAATACCATAGCTTTCTTTGTTCGATGCAAATAAATTATCAGTTCTGTTTTTATATAAAAAAAAAATAGTTACTCATAATAATATACATAATAGATTAAAATGTACTTAATAAGTAGTCGAAACCACACGAAATTTGCGTTGAGCTTCCAACACGATTAGATGTAAATACAGAAATAATAAACCATTTTCAATCTATATTAACACTCTTACTTCTTTCACGGAATATAATTTACTAGTGTATGTGAGTTGTGTGTCTTTTTATCTTGCTTTTTAGAGCGATTTATGAGAATTTCCGTACTGGAATCGCAGTATCCTTCTTTGAACGTCCCAGTAGGCTCATTTGGTTCGCCATGAGATTTTGCGAATGTTCCTTCCCTTTGTAAATGTTAGCTTTGATCTCACCGATTAATTTGTTGTAGACTTTCTGTGTGCCTTATTTTATTAGTCTTTAAATCTGCGTTGTCATTATTATAATCTCCAATTTGATGTAAAGGTTGTTGTGCATTAAACAAAATTAGACAAGAACAACTAGATGGCGCTGGAATCGAGACATGTGTTTTCGTTGATTATTTTTTAATAATTTAAAGTAAAATTACTAAATTGACAAGTGATTTTTACTATTATGTATGAATAATAAGTCACAACTAATATGCGATCTTTTCCTGAATATTAGAATACATACAATTGCATATTTCTTGCTACTATGTGTTTTTTTTAAGTTGTACAATACAAGAGAATAAGAATATGATGATGAATTATGACTATGTCAGTAAAAAATAAATAAAACCTCACGCCAATTTAGAAATTTTGTCTCAAATTGTATTTAATTACAAAATAATTAAAAAAGCCATGAATCTCGATTCTAGCGCCATCTAGTATTTCATGTCCAAATTTGTTATTGATCAACCATTTTAAGTGAAATCTTTTAATGTAATATGGTGTAAAAAACGCAACGCCATGTATGTTTTGATTTAAAATGGCATTAATACTTTGTCGTAAGTTAAAATTTTTGAAATTAACGCGGTTGATTGTTACACATTATTTGAATTATAGTCGCAACGGCATACTGTATAGGTTAAGGTTGTACGTTCGAAATTTTTGTCTGTCGTTATTAATATTAATGTAAATGTCCTCTACTAGTAATATTAAATTTTTCAGTTGGTTATGATATTTTTTTCACCTTTCTAGTCACGAGTAACGGTGTTTGCTGTGTACAAATTGAAGATGTCTATTACCTGATTAAACCCTATGAAATTCTTGTTTTAATACCTCGTTCTGATGATTTAAATCCCTTTTTATATTTTTTTAAATTGTTTCCTTTTAATACGTATTAATGTTATATCTTATAAATTTTAGATCGAAATATAATTTCGGATAAAAGTTCAATGAATTCGATTATATTTGAGTATTATTTTTAATAATTAACTTTATTTTATTTAAACGACATAGTTATTGCTTATGTCCAATGTTCGTGATCCTTACCTAATTATTGTTTTAAAGTAAGTATTATTTTTACCTAAGTTCCGCTCTCTGAAAATGGAGGTAAATATAAACAAGGAAATAAACGCACAAAGCTCATAGAAAATAAAATAAAATAATTATAACAAAAAAAAAAATAATAATACAATTCTACGAGTTCAATCTTCTTGACGTCTACAATTTTTACACGCGCAAACAGACAGCTGAAAGTGACATTTGCAAACGAACACCACACTAATGATACAAAATATAGTTAATAGATAGTACACGAGAGTGGATTCCTAATTTATTTTAATATAAGATACTTAATATAACATAATACAATAATAGATTTCTACGGGATTTCAATGGTCACTTAATAGGATTAGCTTAGAGCCAAATATTACAATTGTCGAAGTCGTTTGTATCACAAAATTATGAACATTGCCACTGAATAATATTTTAAGGTTTATGCACTATGCTATATATATATATATATATATATATATATATATACATATACAAATAAATATGTTCGTACGATAAGTTCTAAGTCATAATAGCTCAATAATATACGGAACTCTATGAAATTGTATAATAAATATATAATAGTAAGCAATTATAATAATACATTAGGTGAATGGAAAGTTATGAGTAAGGAACGCGAAATAATATACTTAATGAGTAATTTAGGTGTACGATTTATAATTAAGTCCCATTTTGTAATGTTAAAATTAATTAAAAATCAAAAAATCAGCACTAACACGTACTATTATGAATACACTCATAACTTCTTACTGCTAATATTGAAATGTATTATAAATATGAACTATAAATATTAAATGTTATGCGTTAATAATATTATATGGGTTTTATTTAATAAAATTTTATTCATACATGTTTTATTTTAATATATTAATATAATAATAATAAAAGGAACTTTATGAAATTTATATAGTTACAGAACTAAAAATAAATACATGCAGCGACTTAATACAAACAGTAAATTATTCGTAAGTATCATATATATACATACATATATCTATACTACCAAAAATGGTAAGACACAGAATAAAATTACCAAAGACAATTGTTTGAAATTTGTTTGCAGTAACCTTAATTTAGGTATTCATATATATATAGTCTATGACTTAACTCATTAAACGTCTAAATATTATCACTTCCAAAATGGTGAGCTTCTGAAATTATTATTTTGTATATATAGTAATTATTATATTTTTGTACACCACAATAAGAGATTGAACATTTAGATGTTCACTATGAAAAAACGACGCATCCCAAAAAACGGTCAATTAATAATCGACTAATCAATTTTTGGGATTTTTTTTAACACTTGCTGCTTTATCTAGACTCCTATGATCTATGATATCAGAAACATTTACTTCTTTCAATGCTAACAAAATTTTTGAACTATCCAAAATTACTGCTAAATAAAGCCCACGGGTGTGTCGCAGGGTTCAATTTTGGGGCCGGTGCATTGTAATATCCTTGTGCCCAGTCTACTAAAGACATCGGACACTTATAAGTTTCACAGTTTTCTAGAAGTGCACCGAGACGATGCGCTGCATCGTATATAGCATGCTCCACAGGTTCCTCGGGTAACACCTTTGTGACAGGCAAGCTGAAAAATAAAGAATAATAAACGAAATAATTTATGACTATCTAATTTGACAGTAACTCTTAACAGACGATACTTATTACGTTTAAGATTATACAGTAAAATATATCTGAAATAAATAAATCCTTAATAATATCTAGTCTAGGGAAGTCTAAAAGTTGTACCAGTGACGGAAAAGCGAAGTACCTAATAGAATGTCTTGGTATGGTCATGTCATGCGCAAAAATAAAAGCCATGTTCTAAAGAAAGAGTTAAGTATAAAAGTGGATGGATTTAAAGGAGACGCCCGAAGTAAAAAGTGGATAGACTATGTGAAAAATGATATGCATAAAAGAGGAGTGAGCCCGGAAATGATAGCTAATAGGGATTTGTGGAAAATTAAGGCATATTACGATGACCTCAAATAAATGGAAAAAGGCAAAGGAATGTTAGCATATCGGTAGTATCAGAAAAACACTATTCTACAAATTGTTGAAGAAAGCCTTAATAAAGCTTTATTCCCGCTACATCATACACATGTATTTACTACTTGAAGACTAATAGAAAAACCAGTAAAATACATTACTCCTAGATGAGATTTATATCTAGATTTTAAAAGCAAAGGTTTATAAGGATAGATGGATGTTTGTTACTCTTTCACGCAAAAATATTTGGCCAATGAAATTATAGGTTATAAAGGCCTCAGGAATGATAAAAAAAGCATGAAAGGTGTCATAAACGACATTGTACATTTTGTTATTTTCATAATACTGTTCATGTATATATAGGCGACGGTTACTATTTTTCATCAGGTAGATCGTCGGCTTCTTTGCCATTCTAATTTGTATAAAAACTATTGAATAGACTTTAATAAAATTTGGTACATGAGTAAGTTATATTCTAACTAAGCACATAGGATACTTCATGTAGTGATTCACACGAGTAAAGTCGCGAGATACTGCTAGTTATACTTATAATAGTAGTAGATACAGTTTCTAGATCTATAGGAGACCTAAAATACAAACGATTATTGAATATGAATTATACAGCCACTGCACGTATTGAACGTACTGCAACCAACAGAAGGTGAAATAACATATAACCGCTCCAACACCAAGGATAACAAGCTGGGCTGATTACCTAACTCGAAGAACCGACAACTGAAGGAGAAGGAAGTCTTGAGTGACAACCCCGTAAAGGTATGGTAAACACAGTGTAGAACGACCCCCACTAGATGGAGTAACACCCTCGAATGCATTGAAGGAAGTCAGTGGATGTAAGTTGTTCAGTATCGTTCCTTATGACAGTCTCTGAGAGAGGCTTACATTTAGCATTGGGCAAATAATGGTTAAAATAATGATGATGATAATGATAAATACCCAAGATCACCAAAACTAATACATTTTAAGAGTTTATGTTGCTACTTACGTGAATAAAGTCCTAAATATTTCTTCGATCATGTTGTTACCATGAGGAACAATACGCTGAGTGGTCTCACAAAGAGTCTTCAAAATACACTGTCGTCCATTGTAGCCCATACTGTAATTTAATAAAAATATTATAAGCTAGCAACCCAACCCGGCTTCGTGTCGGGTAGATGGAATTTTCGATAATAATACATAGACTATATTACTCAATGATAATTAAGTAGTTTTTGAGTTTATCCATTTCAAACAAACAATCAAATCTTTTTTCGTCATAATATTACTTAGATAAAATATAACCCTGCAATAAAAAGTTTTATTAGATATTTAAGGCATTTTTAAATAAGGGAGTTTAAACGATATTCTACTTTCTACTTCATCCTACGAGAACTATTATTGTAAATATGAAAGTTTATCAAAATGTATGTTTGATGCTTAAACGGCTGAAGGGATTTCAATAAAATTGGCACATGTCTAGATTATATCCTAATTTAATACATAGGATCATTTTTGTATTGATGCATGTGGCAAAATTACAAGGGTATTTAGTTGGTTAATAAACTACAATAACATTTAAAAATAATTACTTATCCAAAATACTCTCAATCTTGCTATATAGTTCTCTTCTACTCCGTCTCTGTGCTACTGGTTTTTTTAGTCTGTACTTCTTGTGATAAAAACTTAATGTTTCTGTTGCATTTGGTAGTTCATACGCGATGCCCCAATTGAGACCAAACGTGAAAGTGCCTGGGGCAGTAGATGGCGCTGGTTGGCCTATCACACCTACTGTCATGCAAGCAGCGCACTGGAAATGAAAAATAGTCAAATATAAAAATAAGTATTAGGTCCACGAGTCAGGTTTTTGTTAATGTGACTAGAATAAAGAAGTAAACTACGTCTTTCTCTCCACCAAAAACTATGTATAAAAATTTCATATTGATTGGTGTTTTTATAGATTGTGGAAATATTGTATAACGGTAAACCTGCCTGCGTTATTCATACGCTAACGAAGTATGATTGGGATTATAGATGAAGACAATATCAGGGCAATGACTTATAGTCATGAATTCTCCAGAAATCAAACAATCTAGTGACTTAGTAGTAGTCGAGCTAACTTACAATATTGCTAGTAAGATTGTTAGCAATATGGCTGATAGTAGCCACAATTTAGTTCATAGCCCATAGATGATTGATGAACCATAAACATCTTAAGAAGTAAGAAACAAACAAGTTAGATTTCATATTTTTAATATTGTTTGTGGAAAAGTTTAAGATGTGCAGCACCCATTGATGGAATGTGATAGGAACCGAAGGGAAAGGGGAACATTTTTAAAAACATTTAATATTAATAAATTTGATATGGGTATTGTTCAGAGCATAATGCATGCTCCTACTACCAAAATTGCTTTGTGCTTAAATAAATTAGTAAGTAGTATTGTTAAGTTATAATTATAATAGTAGATAACTTGTTTAGATTTTATGGGATTGACATGTTAAAAAACAAAAATCCCAAATTTTACGTAGATTAAAAATATATATATTAGTAAAACTAAAGCTTAGATTGACGAAGAAAAAAAGTAAAGGAAAGAGTACTTTTAATCCACGCTATTAGGTTGAAAATAAAATAAAAACTTACAGAGAAACTGGAACCTTCAGGAAATGTCACATATCGTCTTTTACGGGATAAAATTCGCTCAGTCTTTCCAATGCCGTCCGTGAAACTAAATCCTATATGACAGGCCACTAGTAAAAATAAAAAACTTAAATTCGATGTCATCTCTAATGCTAAAACTAAAACTACAGATTCGATTAAATGAATATTTTTTTTACAAACGAAATCGTTCTATAGATTTTATCAAATTTATATGACACGTAACAAATTTTTACGACTAAAATGTTTGCCAGATGAGACAGACTGATCGTAGAATCTAGTTTGACCACAAAACTGTGCCAAGCCAGCTAACGGGAGAGGAAATTGTCACATTTCTCGAAAGGGTGTGAACAAATTTAGAGGTGTTAACAGACTCGAATCGGTGCTGCGTGAGGCCCTGCCGTAATTAGGGTCATAAGTGTAACCAGTTTGTAGAACCAATTGCTGTAGTTATATCTGTCGCCTCGATACCTTTTTAAAAGACTTCCAAACGAAAGAGGTTTAATGCATCTGATTTTTTTTCTTTATTGTTTAAAAATATGTTACACGACTATATTCAGTTCTATTCAAGATTAGTACACGAACCGATTTTCAGAATTGTTTGAACGATTAATAGAGTTGATTTATTTGTTGGTCCTATATTTATTTTATGGTGTTTGAAGCAGCCATGTTTCTTTGCGGTGCAAAAAAACTGCCCGTTGCAAACCTAAGCTCGCTCGGGCCAAATTTTTAAACAAACACATGATTCCACATTCTAAATCCAAATATAAACCAAGTAAGGTATTTATGAAACATCCTTTTTTTTATAGATATGTGTATTCACAAATTTCGCCATTTTGAGCAAAGCGATATAGTGTATTGGTAATACGAGTAAAATCAAAAATATTGTAGGAATTGAAAATGTCTTGATCTAATTCTTATACTAAGACAGCATCAATTCTACAGATAATTTTTTTTAAATAAAAAAAAATTCTACTACTAATATTACAAATTAGGAGTTTCCTGGGGTTATTATATTATTTTATTATAATGAAATATGCGAGATATTTCATTATAACAAAATCCTCTGTTAAGATACTCTTGTAATTATTTATTCATTTATTTTACACTTTATTGCACCAAGTAACAAGAAAAATAGCAAATACAGTAAATATTAATGAGAAGTGATACAAAAGACGGCCTTATCGCTAAGCAATCTCTTCATCAAAATTCACTGAAATGTGTTCTGTTATTTAATTTCAGTTATTAAACAAATATCCATCCATTCAAACACCCTCGCAAACTTGCATATTTATAATAATAGTCAGACGTATAAAAAAATTGTAAGTCGACCTAATAAATTATATTAGGTTTACCTTTGAAAATACTGGGTTTACTATGCTCCTATTAAGCAAAACCACATTTATTTGACAACGTTAACGAACACTTAAACGTTAACGGACACGTAAACGTTAACATCATTATCAAAGAGCCTGAGGGAAAGTTGGGCATTCTTAATTCACCTTTAAACTTGATTAATTCCATCAGCAACTCAGTGAAAGCTTTTCCTAATGATTTATTGGGTCAGACATGGATTCTGTGAAAAAATAACACAAAAGTGCCTGTCTGCGAGTGGATAGTGCTCGTAAATTGGGTTACATTCAAAGACTCCGTGTGGGGGGAGTTAAATGCAGCGCCTATAAAAAAGAACAAGGGGTGAAATTTGCTGCTGAAATATTGAACAGCCTTTCTAAAGAATGTGTAGCGTGCCACCTTTTTGTAGAATGAAAATCAAATCGCAATATACTGGGTTATGACTATGGTACTCTTTATGTCTATAGGTAAAGATTGCCACTTTCTATCAGGTGGGCCGTCAGCTTGTTTGACATTCTAAGTTGCATAAAAAATTCTTAGGCCATAGTCAAGGATTAGGTATACTATAAAGTCTTAGATTATATAGATAAAGCATCCAGCCTCAAAAATGGATCAAATTTTTGTCAGTTAATTGTCAAATTAGCTGATTCGTTTTTTTATTAGTGTTCTATATACTTACGCACACAATGTACCTTGACGTATCTATATTTCGTTATTTGATAATTTTTTTTTTTCTTTATACATCTTAGATGGCAAACAAACTGACGGCCCATCTGATGGCAAGTGGTAACTGTCGCCTATAGACATGAGCAGTACCATGGATATAACAGAGTATACTGTTTCGCCCATGATACCCCCCATGCGTTGCCATTCCTGAGGACTCAGGTGTTATTCCTCTGTACCTGTAAGTTCACCCCATATCCCACCCTTCAAATCGAAACACAGCCATGCAAACACAACTGCTTCACGGTTGAAACACGAATGGGATAGAGGTACCCAAACAATCGACTTTAAATGAGTTTTCGCGCATTAAAAAGATGCAAAATTTATAGGACAAAATAAATATTAAAGTTATAAAGGAATCATTCATGACTATTTATCACGCAAAATTGTATGAAAAAGATGACCCACTTTTCTCGTAGCATTTGTATGGAGACATTCTATCTATATAATCTATCTAACTATTCAGAATAGCGATTTCAGTATCATATAGTTATTATATCTTATATATAAAATTCTCGTGTCACGGTGTTTGTTACCAAACTCCTCCGAAACGGCATTACCGATATTTATGAAATTTTGTGTGCATATTGGGTAGGTCTGAGAATCGGCTAACATCTATTTTTCATACCCGTAAGTGACCCACTCCTAAATATTTTTTTTTTATTTTTGTGACAATTTTTTTTATTTTTATTTTATTATAATTTAGCATTAAAAAATACATACAACTTTAAATTTTCATCGTTTGTCGATCAACCCCTGTATTTTAATCGCGATTTTTATATTTCGCAATAAGTGGTAAAACAACGTTTACGGGGTCAGCTAGTAATATTATAATTTTCTATCGAATCTTATAATAATTTATGATTGCGATGCATAAAAAAAAACTATTTAAATAGTAGCCAAACTATTTTAATTTGAAAACTAAACTATTGAATTGATTTTTATATAATTTCTACGAGACCAGTTTAAAAATGTATATAGTATTCTTTAGGATAAGAAAAGAAATTTTCAAATTTGTTTCATACTAACGGAGTATTTTTATGTTTGTTACCTCATAATGTAACAAACATAAAAAATACAACCGAATTGAGAGTAACCTCCTTTTATGAAATTAGTTAAAAACCGTACTCCGTACCATTTTAAAGCTATATTCTACACTTCAAACTGAAACAGAACCATAAATGGGACAGAGGTACCCAAGACGTCTTTAACCATGCATTCATGATTATGGATTATGATTATCAACTGTCCAGTGTTAAACATAAACCTTCTGCTAGAAGGGTTTTACCAGTAATTGTCATGTTTGGCAGGCGGATTGGCAACCGTAGATACAATTTGGAGATGTTTTAAGAGGAACACTGCTGCCTATCCCTTGCTCTTCTTCACGGGAACATATTATACTTCAATTTGTTAATTTCCTAAAATTGCAGTTATATGGACCATCATATACTAAAATTATGAAAATTTTGTTTAAAATCTATTAGTATTTTTTATGTCCTAGTCCTTTTAGGTCCTTAGAACAAAGATTTCTCAGTTAGCAAATTTAAAATTCGAGATAAGTATAGAGAGACGGCGTCTCAGAATCGATCCCGCGTTTTGCGTAAAATGCCTTCAAACTACATAGTTGATAGATGATAAAAAATCTGTCAACAAAACAACAAAGTTGGGTATCGTTCATCGCACTACTTTTTATTGCGATACGCGACCTGTTTACAGTTCATAACTTCAAGAACTTGAAGCTTGTTCAACTTTCTTTACTCAATATACCTACACACCGGATTTTCTCCTTAGTGATGTATCTTCATAGGTCAAAGACCTGATAGGTACTGCTAATTATTGAGTTGTTACTAAATGTAGTATTTTTTTTATTAGAAGCATTAGTGATTGCATTTGTAGGTCGAAACAACAGATGGATAGATAAACAAAGAAGAGTTTTTTTTTTTCAATATTTTCTCTATCATCTTTCAGCCGTTATCTGACTATAGGCCTCTCTCATAGACTGCTATTAGAAACGGGAGAATTCCTTATGACAGTTTACCATTGGGGGAATTTTGCCGGTTGTTGCTACGCTTGGCAGGCGGATTGGCAACAGTGGTTTGGTTTATAGTCATGTTTAAAAGAGACGCCCATCTCTCGACCAGTTCTCTTAGTTGCCTGTTACAATACTCAGAGGAAAGCAGGAGGGGACGGCTATTCTATGCCAGAACCACGCGATGTTTATTCTATACGGATTCCTAAATCATATGTGTCGCATATTTTAATTCATACTTATTTTTTATACTATATAATTGTAAAATAAAAATTTATATTTTACAATGCAATTACAATACAATTCAATACAGAATAAATAAGTATTAAATTTGAGTAAATAAAAATAAAATAAAATTACAATAAAAGTCGAAGTGACAACCACTTTTACAAGTAGGTTAAAAATGGGACAGTATGAAATCGAATAGGTCTTATGTTGGGTCTTGCACATAAACTTTTATAACAGCGCGCGGCTGTTGAATGAAACCCCGAAATACATGGCGACAAATAACAGCCATTCCATTAGGAGCATTAGACCCGAGGTCGGAACAAAAATGTGACTACCATTATTCTCCATGTGGCCGTAGACAAATCATGGCTGTGTTTGAATCGATCAACAATACTAACTAGATGCCTGATTAAAATATGAGCGAATAACGCCTCATTTGCAGACTAAGTACATATTTTAATTATTCTGTACTAAATCTCTACAACCGTGCTTCATTTATTTTTATGTGAAAGGGTGACAAAAAATCATGCCATTAGATGAGCATGCCATTACTATTAGATGAGCTCATCTAATGGTAAATAATCAAAGTGGCTCAAAAACTAAGAATACTTTTGTGTTGCCTTTTAAATAGGTATGAATTATTTAAAATTATTTTTATACTTATAATTTCCATCATAAATATTAAAACGAAAATGGTCTTAAGTTATATGAATTCGAAAAGAGAATTTAAATGCAACTTTACCCTACTAAAAATAGAAACTCTGTAAGTAAGACATTATTCATTCAGTGATTTTAGCGCTTTCGTCGTACATCTAGGTGGTATTGTTGATCGAAGCACCTTTGCCATCATATGCATACACAGTCATCTTGGAAAAAATAACTCACGACTATAACTCTGATTGACGCAAAACCGAGAATGGCGTAAAAGTATCAGAAGGGCTGACTTCAAATAAGGAAAAGGCCAAGAAATTGTTTGATTGATTGAGTATAACTCTGATACGGTTAGAAACATATTGTTAAGAGTGTGATGTTATAGTAAAATTACTGGATATGGGACACCATGATATCTTATTACTAAGGAATTACAGAGTTTGAAGGTTGCCACTTTTTTAAAATTCAACTTAGAATGGCAAACAAACTGACGGTCCACCTGATGGAAAGTGGTAACCGTCGCCTATAGACAGGAGCAGTACCATGGACATAACAGAGTATACTGTTTCGCCCATGATACCCCCATGCATTCCTGAGCACTCAGGTGTTATTCCTCTGTACTCTGTTAATTCGTTGCCATATCCCACCCTTCAAACCGAAACACAACCATGCAAACACAACTGCTTCACGGTAGAAACACGAATGGGACAGAGACGCCTAAGGAAACGTGTTTTGTTCAAAGTCGCCCTCTGGTAAACTTACTAGTGGTATATTGTACTTTATAAAGTTCATGGTACTGGTCATATCTATAGGTAATCGATACTATTTTCCAAAGTGAATCATCGGAATGTTTGCTATTCCTATTTACATAAAAAACCTTATTAGTCAATGATGACAGTGCAGATTTTCGAGTCATTAAGATTGTTGGACTTTATAACATTATTAGGTACAAAATAAATAGATCTCCTGTAATTTATTTTATTTCATACAAGCTTGTTCTTTGGTTTGTTAAACGCTAAAGCGATCTGTATCAAAGAAATTGGACAGTCGTGGAAAATATCACAGACTTTCGGGTCAAAAAGCTCAGGATATGAATCGCCGATTTCCTCTTGAAATTCCTTTTCGAACAACGATGACCTGTAACAATTAGGCATGGAAATTATTGCTATATTTAAACTATTATCATTTTGTGAAACTGTTATTTTTATTCACAGTGATATCACTAGTGCTAAATAAAAAAAAAAGTTATTTTCGCTTGCAATAACTTAATGTCACATTCTCTATTATTTGCTACTGAATATTAAATATGGATTATGATTTTTATAATAAGAGCCAATAAAAAGAGACTTTGTTCCACTGCGTTAAAGTCTCTATTTGCTCTCTTTGTACGGTCCAATCGGTCGTCTGATGCGGTTTCACGGTGATAACCGAACGCAACCCATGAATCATTAATAACTAATTAATAATAATCCGACTAAAAATTTGCTAATTTTTTTTAATATAAGATAGAATGACAAACAAGCTGACAGACCAAGTGATGTAAAGTAGTAACCGTCACCTATAGACATGAACAGTACTATTAGTACCACATCATTTAGAGTCTATATAAAGCGACCTATGTTAATTAAAGTAACTACGCGAAATCAAACATTTCGCGTAGCATATGATATTGCAGTTGTTAAATGTGAAATATTCCAACATTAATAACTTTTTTTTTAAAAAACTTATAATGGTAAACAAGCTGACGGCCCATCTGACGGAAAATGGCAACCATCGCCTATAGACATGAGCAGTACCTTGGACATAACTGAGTATACTGTTTCGCCCATAATACCCCCGATGCGATGCCATCCCTGAGGACTCACGTGTTATTCCTCTGTACAATGGAATGGCAACGCATGGGGGGTATCATGGGCGAAACAGTATACTCTATTATGTCCATGCTACTGCTCATGTCTATAGGCAACGGTTACCACTTTCCATCAGGTGGGCCGTCAGCTTGTTTGCCATTCTAAGTTGTATAAAAAAAAAAAAAACCCTGTAAATTCACTGCCATAGCCCACCCTTCAAACTGAAATACAGCTATGCAAACACAACTGCTTCGAAGCGTAGTTGTGCATGGAAAAGAGCCTTGAAAAACGTACGATGGCGAGCCGTAGTCATTCAAATGTTTCGAATGGAAGTCTCGTTTGTGGCGGATTACGGTGGTGAAAATCAGCAGCATTCAATCAATTATACAACTTTTTACAACTATTGAACATTAGCAAACTGTGTTATGACATGAACAGTTATTCGTTCGATTATATTTTCTTTAAGTTCTTCAAAAAGGGTTATATTAAGGTTTCTTCAGTATCGATAACGCACAAATCGTCATAGTCGTAGAATACTGACGGATCTGACAAATATTACATATAAAGATCCGTCAGTATTCTACGACTATGACGAAATGTCACCCCTAGTATTGCAGGCGTTCATAAACTACTGTTACCGTTTACAATCGGACAGGCTTTATGCTTGTATGCCATCTTTGTGGTGTAAAAAATAATGTTATGTTTAAACATTGAGAAACTGCTAAACAAAAAGTCCTCCATTTCAAATTCAACTTAGATATAAATATTTTGTAAAGTTTAAAGAAAACGATACAGTATTAGTATAATTTTAATATATCGGGCTGTGACAAACTGACAAACTAGCATCCATCAAGTAGGGTTAAACAATGTTATTAATTATAACATTAATAAATTATGAAAATGTAATCATCTAAATTGACCTAAACAGAGCTATCGTTTATATGAAATGACATGATGAGTCATAAATTTAAAATTTACGTTAAATTTCTGAACATCATTTCGAGTAACTTTGTTATTAACCGAGATAGTGTGAAATGTAATTTGTCATGTTAAGGGTTTTATTCTGGTTATTCTGTATTCGCTATAAACCGTTTCAATTCCTTAACTTTAACCGATAAAAAAAAAGAAAGTTCTCAATTGAACGTTTGTATTTTTAATTATTTTTAAATAAAAAATTTGCTTGTGGTATTTACCGCAAAATTTATCAGTTGCTTATTCGCAATCAAAAAAATTAAGATAACGCAGAACTACTCGACTAATCGTCATGAAATTTTATATATATATACAATATTTGAATCAAAGATGAACATAGATGGATAGATTATATTATACACTCTTTATTGTTTCCCTGATTACTTAGTAGTAAACTTATTAAAGATAAGTTAATTCATGTAATCGTAAAGTTATTAAGAGGGCGGCATTATCGCTTAAAGTGATGTAGAACATAGATTACATTTAATCTTGATTACGGAAATAAACTTGCAAATACATTATCATTATCCAACCAGTCGTTACCTGTTCACTGCTGAACACAGACCCTATTTGTATTGAGTTATTTTTCTCCGTGATTTTAACTTCATTTATTATATTTGTAAAATGTGCTAGTTCTTGTTATATATTTTTATTTATTAATTATATTAATCGTTAGTAAAAATTCCGTCTGTTGACTTGATGTAATATATTTTTTTTAATTTTCTTTTTTATAAAAAACTACAATTGTCAATGTATATAAAAAGATTCATTTTGAACAGACCCTCCATAAACTGCTATAAAGAAATATACCATTCCTTATGGCTGTTTGCCATTGAGGAGATTTTGCCAATAGTTACCACGCTTTGTTGGTACACTTTATATCCTGAGGAGATAGAAAAAATCTTAAAATTTCTATCATTGACAGGAATTAGCAGCGAACATTAAAAAAAAGGCGAGCAAGAAAAATCATGGAAAGGTCGCAGCGTCACAGGTTTTACTGCCTGGAAAAAGCCCGTCTTTAATAATAATAATAATACTACTGTTGGTAAGCGGATTGGCGACCACAGCTGGCTTTTGGTGATGTTTTACAAGGCGCCCTTCCCTCGACCATTGGGTTCTCTTAATCGCTTTTTAAGGCACTAACGGGAAAGGAAGAGATTGCCTATTTTATAGGACCACATGGCAAACACAGCTCACTAATATTATAAATGTAAAAGTTTGTTTAGTTTGTTTATTACATCTTATCGTCACAACGACTCGACTAATCGTCATGAAATTTATTAGTTTGTTTATTACATCTTATCGTCACAACGACTCGACTAATCGTCATGAAATTTATTAGTTTATTTATTACATCTTATCGTCCCAACGACTCGACTAATCGTCATGAAATTTAATGTGCACGTGGTATTCGGCACGTGGAAGGGCACAGACCTCTTTTGATCCCGGTCACTCGGACGAAGTCGTGACAATGCTTGTAAATAAATAAATATAGAATGAATGCGGAACGACCCTTTCGTTCGCATTCGTGCGTTTGTTAATTCTAAATAATCCCGTGACATGCACACCTGTGATCACACTTAATCCAGAACAAAGCATAATGACAATAGAGCTAAAAAGATTGAGAAGCTCCCACAATACTGGCGTTAAGAAATCAAAACCAAGTAAGTTAAGGTTGTAATTTAATTTTGTTATTTAAATTGCAATTACTAGTTTTTACCCACGACACGCATCAGTTAATACTTAGTTGTTAATTTTTTAAGACTTTTTTTTTTTATATTACCTTCTCCATTTATATGAATAATTAATACATACGTGAATACAGCTCTTAACAAATCATGTATTAATGACTTCCCAGGCGGCGCGAGAAGCATTTTAGCCTCACATATACTCCTCAAAACACAGGCACGACCATTGTAATTGTGACTGAAAATAAGAATTACACAAATAAAGCCATGATGATATCAGCCGGTAATTGTCCACTACTGGGCGTAGGCCTTCCCCTTGAGGGGTTTTACCAGTAATTTCGATACTTAGCAGATGAGATGTCCACCGCAGTAAGGCTTACGTGATGTTTTAAGAGAGACATCTCTCGACCTTCATGTTCCTTCTGTCGTCTATTACGACACTCACAGAAAAAGAAGGGAAAATAAGCCATAGATTAATACAATAAATAACTTTATTACCAAATGGAGAGTGTTCAAAGTTGCCTACATGAGATATGCATAGTTATATCATTATTTCATCAAACAACTTATGTTTCTCGGTTTGAAAAATAAGATAATTCTTGATTATCGTTCATCGTCATATCAGTTGTTAATTGATATTTAAAAAATAATAATTTAAGTGGTCTTAATAAGAATAAAAGATTCAAAAACAATAATTATTCAAAATTTTGTCTGTCTGTGTGTTTGATCCGGTATCAAGCAAAAACTACTTTATCAAATTGAATAAGGTTTTCACAATTTTATTCCTGACAGTCTAATTTAAAATTTGGCGTATGTTTTGTCTTGGTACGCCATCGAGAAGTAATCTATTTCATTGGTTTTCCTACAGCTGAAGTTCAAGCGAACAAAGTAGCGATCGAAAACTAGTTTTCTATAGACATGTATAGACATAATAATAATAAACAATCCAGTTCAAACACGTCATCGCTATCGCATGTACGAGATAGAATGAAACAGCAACTGCTGGCGTCTTGTTCTTTCACATATGCTCAATAATTAAACTTATCTATCGACAGATTCATTCACTACTTGTTTATGAGGACTGACTAGAGGAAGTGATTATTAGTAATGGGTTAGTCCCCATTGCTATTAATATACGCCATCAAGTCGACCTCCACGCGGTTTCCCCTGGAAACCATCCTGACTAATTTGTCGTTGAATTCGTCACGATGGGCTAACTGACTTGCTTTATCATCCTTACTTATCATCCCTCACTGGTGCCTCGCCAGTGTATACCGTTAGCGAAAGCGGGGTTACCATACCATTATCACACATTAAAAAAAAGAAACTGACTATGGTATATGTTAAGTTAGGTCATGGTATAGCCACCTACAGATCGATAGCATTCTGAAGATTCTCCCACAGATCCTTCTTCTGGCGATGATGGAGCTTTCTTCTAGAATGTGCGAGTGTAAACTCTGGATCTGGTAATGGATACATCACGTTTAAGTCGGTGGTCATGTACCATCCTGACGGTATGTGAGTCATGAATGTTTTCGCTAGAGATATGGTGATCTGTAGATATACAATGACATTATTTAATAAAAATGAATGAATGCAAACTCTTTATTGTTCTCCTAAATGATTATCAGATACATCATCATCATCATCATCATATCATCCGTTAACTGTCCACTGCTGAACATAGCCTCTCTCATGGCCCTCTGTCAGTGATTTTTTTATACCGTTGAGGTGGCAATCAAGCTTATAGCCAATCTGATGGTAAGTGGTTACCGTAGCTTATGAACGCCTGCAATACCAGGGGTTTTACGCACGCATTGCCGACCCTGAAGAAACTTCTTTATTCCCCTTTTGAAGAACCCCGTGCTGTAATCTCTTGAGGAAACCTCGGCAGGGAGCTCATTCCATAACCTGAGTGTTCGTGGGAGAAAACAGGGTTTTGTCAGTAATTGGCATGCTTGACAAGCGAGTTGGCAATCGCAGTTTAGGTTTAGGCGATGATTTAAGAGAGACGCTGCTGCCCATCCTTTCACGCTCCTTTAGTCGCTTCCTACGACACCCACTCAAAAGTCAATTATAAAAGATAATTAATTTAATCATATCGTATATAAGCAATTATTGTGGCTAACTTAGCCAATCGATAGAAAGTAATTTTTTTACTTAGAATTATGTGCTAAAAATTAAATTAGGTGCTAAAAATAATATTGTCTTACAAAAGTAACATTTTCTCAGAAAAATAAAACAGAGAATTCAGTTATAACAAAATTATAGCCTCATTTCAATAGAATTTAATGGAAAAATAAGCAAGTTTCGATTAAATTATCCTTCAAACGTTCTCAAAATAAAACTATTTACAGAATGTATCATTCAATACATTATTCGATATTTGATTTATATTTAAGACAGGCAATATCCGATATCTATATATTGAGGTTACGTTACCATTACGATATCGCCCATACCAGTCAAATAACTATATTCTTTACGAGCAGGTTTGTCTTTTCGATATATATTGAATAACCGATATCAATGTTATTGGGTCAATATATGTATAGATATTGCAACTACAATATATAGATATTGCTATATATTATCCACCCTTAATTTGTACTACTATTGGATATCAATCAATCAATCAATAATTATCGTATAGTCGCTTCAATCAATCGTTTGTTCACATTTTCATTGAATTCTATTGATACAAACTGAAAATTGGAAATAAAATTTTATCGATTGAAAAAAAGTTCAAAATCGGTTCAGAATAGACGAATAAATTGTATAGCACAATACATATAATAAAATTGTAACTGATCACTGTCTGTACATGGAGGATTTAAAAGAAAAACTATTATAAGGGGGCTTTATGAACGCAATAGAACCTAAAGCAATGATTTTTAGAATTTTTGTCTGTCTGTAAATTTACTACTACTGTACGCTTAACAAATTAATGCTTAACGCTTAGCAAAATAATCTCAGAAACGGCTTAACCGATTTGAATGCGGTTTTCATTAATGCGTTGCAGTTTTCCCCGCTTAACATTTAATCGGTACATAAATAAAAAAGTTACGTCAATCTAAAGAATCAAATAAATTATATCTATCTAAAGAATCAAATATATTATAATTATAAAATATAAAAAGCATATAGAATACTTTATAGAGTGATTCACGCGACTGAAGCCGCGGGACACTGCTAGTAAAAATATAAGTACTCTACTCTACTAAGTTGTGAAAAAAAAATCGTTTACTCACAACAGCATTGCTACCAGCTGGAAAAGTAAGGTGTCTCCGTTTTCTTATTGCATTGATGGACGCCTTAGTATTGGGACAGTGAGTCCTCGAAATATCCGAAACTGTGTTGCACTCAGCTACGGCAAAATACGTTAGAACTATCACAACACTGTGTAAATTCATTATTTCTAATCTATCTTAGAACTAGAATCTTCCTTTTAATATAATAATCAGTGTTTTTAACTTTAGATTCAGTTGTTTATCCCAAGTTGCGACCATTTGTGGTATAGCGGTGCTTTGGACTAACAGAGATGTGACACTACGCAATCGTTCGATATACAGTATGTATTTTATAATGCAGTATTTAAAAAAATGTTGATGAGTATTCTTAATTTGAAACAATGTCGGATTTCGGTATTATATATTATTATAATATTACAATAAATTCCAATAAACGTCACAATTATATGTATATTTTCTTAGAATCTGATAAATATATTTTTTAATCCTGAAATTCGATAATGAAATAATGTAGACAGTATAAATATCAATAAGATATATCTAAATTAACTAATTTATAATAATTTAATAAATAATTTAGAAAATATGTATTACAATTAAAAGTACTTAGATGTATGTAAGGTATTGATATTATTATTTGCATATGTTTTATTACTATGAGCGATCTGTTTACTACATATACATACTTCTTGCGTCAATAGCTACTGTCTTTTTGATGATCGCCTTTTATACTTCATAAGTATAATATATATGTGTGCGTGCGTGTGTGAGTGAGTGCGTGCGTGCGTGCGTACGTGCTTGCGTGCGTGCGTGCGTGTGTGTGTATGTATTATTCTTTAAATAGTGAAATAAAAAAAATAAATAAATAAATACTTCATTGAGACATATTATAATATCAAATAAGAGTATTATTTCCATTTTATGTCCAAATAAGAAATTGTTTATAAACAACAGGTGTGCTATTGGCGAGTATCCAAAACAGTATTGAGTCTATATACTAAGAAGATTAATGGAGAAAACAGGTATGGACTATTTATTAGGTAGTGCGATCTAAAAAGACGTTACTCGTCAGTCATATATTACGACCTTAAATATAAAATACTATAAACGTCACACAGCGCCATCTAGTATATTTTTTTAAAAACACGAACAAACACACCGAAAAATTTGTATTCTTATTGTGGAGAGAATCGATCCTACGACCACTGATAAACGAGGTCATCAAATGGCTTAAGAATGACATCTTTTCTTTAGCCAAAAACCTCTAAATCATATCCGACCCTGTATTTTGTATATGCATAGCATACCTGCATAATATATTTTTTTAACTGTGAATTATGATAGATTATAACTGACAGTGTGACCATCTTTAAATACAACTTCAAATACGAGTCAATCTTGCCTTTTGTGTTAAAATGTACCAAATCTTGTTAAAGTCAATTTAAAAATAAAACAATATTGTTTTGGAGATTCATAGAGCAACGAAGTCTTGTTTGATCTCCTGTCTCCCTCATTTAATTATGTATAATTAATTAATATTATAAATACGAAAGTTTGTAATGATGAGTGAATGGATGGATGGGTGGTAAATGGATGGATATTTGGTACTCTTTCACGCAAAAACCACTAAACGTATTTGAAAGAAATTTGGTACACGGGTAGGTTAGATTCTAACATAGAATGTAGAATAATTTATAATCTGATTCATCTGGGCAAAGCCTCAGGGTACAGCTATTTATAACTATGTTATTTTACTCGTTGTATTCTTTGCTATGTATGAGTGTTTTATTAATATGGGAGATAATAAACAAACATTATTATTTTATCAGATAGTTAAATTATAAGATAGGAAATTATATTATTCTCGCTCTTTTATTACTAGGCTTAATCAAATTGGAAACAATTCGGAATTTTTTTTACCAGAGGGAGACTTTGTATAAAAGTCGATTGCTTGACGTACCACTGTTCCATTCGTGTTTCAACCGTTAAGCAGTTGTATTTGCATTCTATTTTGTATTAAAAAAAAATAGACTTGGCCTTCAAACCGAAACCATTATATATATAATATTAATATTTTTAAATATCTCCCATTTACAGATATCGTCCCCTTAGAATTTTATCATACTTTACTTTGCGGGTGACCGCGATATTTGCGCGTGCGCGTTAGATACATGTGCTTGTGCGTGTGCGTGTGTTATGTGCATGTGCGTGTGCGTTGCGTGTGCGTGTGCGTGTGCGTGTGCGTGTGCGTGTGCGTGTGCGTGTGCGTGTGCGTGTGCGTGTGCGTGTGCGTGTGCTCGTGCAAGAGCTTGCGGCTGTGTGTGCGTGTGCGTGTGCGTGTGCGTGTGCGTGTGCGTGCGTGTGCGTGTGCGTGTGCGTGTGCGTGTGCGTGTGCGTGTGCGTGTGCGTGTGCGTGTTTTTGCGTATATATATATATATATATATATATATGCGTGTATATATATATATATATATATATATATATATATATATATATATATATATGTATATATATGTGTGTGTGTGTGTGTGTGTGTGTGTGTGTGTGTGTGTGTATATATATATATAATAATGAGTAGGGATAATATTTATATTATTATATGTATCATATCTCCCATATTTAGTACTATCAAAATTTTTCATCGTGCCTCCCATTAAATTGTTTATAATTACTCCTCTCCATCCAAAGGTTGCCTGGAAGAGATCGCTCTTAGCAATAAGGTCGCCCATTGTTTTCTCATTGTGATTATTTCTTGTAATTATTTATATTTATAATAAGTTTACTATTGTAATCATTTGGAGGAAACAATAAAGAGTATCTATCTATCTATATCTAAATTCAGAGTGTCGACAAGCAGCTGCACCTGAAATCTGAAATAAGAAAGGGACTGAGCTACCCATACAAATGGTCTTACTTCAATATATAATTTGGGTGAAAAAAAATTGTACGCTTACTCACGTGCTAATTTGATTAAACGCAATGTGAATACCGGGAGCACGGTGTATAGAGTGGATGTGATTTTTTTTTAATTCTTATGGGCTTTTACCTTCTAATAATGGTAATAATGTGATGGTGGCTGAAGAAACTGCGCGGGCTACAACAAAATACTCTGTGTAATTCAGTATTGTCGTCACCAGGATGTGGTGCAATCTACGACGAAATTATGGCATTTTTTATACAACAAATTTGGCAAACAAACACACAGCCCGTCTGATGGTAAACAATCACTGTAGCCTATACTCTGAAGAAACCTTAATGTACCCTTAATTAAAATCAACTATGTAACTATTTACATGTAATCGAGACAGAAATTGAAGTGTTTTTCAACACAATGTGAGATAATTTGAAAAAGATATTTTTTCCTTAATAAATATTAATTTTTTAATATATTTTTTCGAACACTCTGTATTTACAATGTCCACCTAATCATATCGTGTTAGATTAATTTTATGTCGAGTTGCGTGTTTGGTGATACAATTAGAGGCGGTCGTACAATGAAGGACCGATGTTTGTAGATATTTAACAGACCACTAACTAATAGTTAAAGACCAAATCTTACAGCGATATTCACATATTATGTAACCTTGAAACTTGAACTTAAGAGCTCATCGAAGTTTTGACTGGTACCAATTTTCAATTAGAAAACCAAAATTATCAGTAGGTATAGATTTGCTGTATGATTCCGATACATAATTTTTTTTTACAACACGGGGGGCAAACGAGCATGCGGCTCACCTAATGGTAAGTGACTACCGTCGTCCAATTATATAATGACTACCCAAAGAGGCGACTTAATGGTAGAAGGATGAGCAGCGGGACACTGCTCATCCCCCTAAATCTAAATCTTTAAACATCGCCATGACCAAATTGCGGTTATCAATCCTCCTGCCAAGTGTGGTAACTACTGGAAAAAAACTCATACTTTGAAATGTATGCAAATAAATGAGAAATAGATAGCAAATAAATAGTAAATAGAAAAATTACTGATACTTTGAAAATCTTATCCTTACTGAATGTGTAAATGAATTTGTTTATTTCGTATCTCTTGGTACTTTAACAGGTCAACTTTTTAAGCTGTATAGATAGACAAGTAAATAACATTTTTTTTATATAATATATTGTTCTCATATCAATCCGTGTATGAGATCATGTATTTTACTTACACTTATCCTGATATTTTTCTAACTATTAATTATTTCATACCTCATAATGATCTAAAAAAAGTAGTTTGAAATATCTTGATCCTTGAAGGTCAAGGTATCTTCACACAAAGTATCAAAATCAGTTGAGTGGTTTTAGAAGCAACCAATGAGACAAAGCTATTTATAAATTAATTTTGAATTAAATAAAACAAATACATTTAAAATATAAACCGTACTTCAGATTATGCTAAAATTTTGTAGATTAGCTTACGTTTCATACATTTCCTTAATGTTGGCTACTTAACTCCCCGGTGTAGCATAATCATGAATTATGCTTTGAAATGAATGGCAAAGTACAATTTAAAGTTTCGCGTACGTTAAGAGCTCGTGATAAATACAGAGTAAAAATTGTAAATGAGTGTTGCAGGAAGTTGAAGTTCTTTTTTTTTATTTGATGATGGCAATCAAGAATCCAATCGGAGTGACTGCGAGCGTCCGGTGAACGCTTGCAATATTAAACACGGGGGGAAAGGGATTGTTAGCAATGGAGTTTGACAGCCCTATTGCTAGCGATATACCCTATTAGGTCGACCTCCACGTGGATCCCCTTGGAAACCATCTTGAACAATTCTTGTTGATTTCGTCACGATGGGCTAACTGACCTGCTTTATCTTTACCTCTCATCCTTCACTGGTGCTTCGCCGGTGTATACCGACAGCGCGGGTGGGGTTACTATTACATTATCACCCACTAAATAAAAAAATATTAAACACGAAAGGGATTGTTAGTAATAGGCTTGTTGGATCGGCTGTTGACTGTCCACTGGTGAACATAGCCTTTCACCAAAATCCTCTAAGGGGGAGGCTTATGTTCAGTAGTGGCCAATTAAAGGCTGATATGATGATAATATGATTGTTCGATCGTTGATCCAATATTTTGTAGTTAACTGTCGTCAGTGGATATTGCGATGACACTTGTTCGGTGAACGCCTGGCAGAGCGCCCGTGAGCGCCTCCTCTACTGATTCAAGCAAAGTGTGAAAGTTTCACAATACATCATATACTGATAGCCTTCCGGAAGCCGTGCTTACCGTGTTCGGTGTGAATAAGAGTGTTCTCCTGTCCATCATTGAGAGGCTGCTGCTCCAAACTGCTAGTGCATCGCTGTGCGTGTTTACCAGCAGTGCTTCGTACATCCGTGGTGAAAGTGAGCCTTAATGTTAGTGGAGCTTCTATTACTTACTAATTTGGACGAGAATCATCCTAGATACACTCATTTAATCCATATGTACAGTCCACATATCCATTCGAACTAGTGGCCTTTAACTAACTTAATGCAACAATCGCACAATGATGATATTGTAAAACATCACCGAAACCTTACTGCGGTTGTCAACCCATTTGCTAAACATGGCAACTACTGGCAAAACACCCAAATAGGAGTAGCAGCAGTGGACAGTTAACAGTGGATTCAATATAATAATTCTCTTACTTATATAAAGCTGCATTACCAATGAGTAACATTGGGCATGTATTATTTTCAAAAATTCTATGCATGGGGCAAAGCCGGGTTGTATCTATTTTTTTTATATAACTTAGAATGGCAAACGAGCTGACGGCCCACCTGATAGAAAGTGGTAACCGTCGCCTATTGACATAAGCAGTACCATGGACATAACAGAGTATACTGTTTCGCCCATGCGTTGCCATTCCTGAGGACTCAGGTATTATTCCTGCGTACCCAGTAAATTCACGCCATATCCTACCCTTCTAACCGAAACACAGCCATGCAAACACAACTGATTTACGGTTGAAACACGAATGGGACAGAGGTACTCAAGCAATCGACTTTTGTACAAAGTCTCCCTCTAGTAAGGCTCTGGTATCGCTAGTAAATAACGTAGGCAGTTATTAAAACAAGTTTATTTTGGCAAAAGAAAATACAGTAGTGAGAAAGGGCAGTCGTTGATTTTGTCACAATAGTGTGGGTCCGATAATTCATCGTAGAGCCACCCTACTTCCTGCACGAACTCTTTCTCGAACACTGGAGCCCTAGAAATAAAGATAATTTATTAAAGCCATCGTGTGAAAGCAGTAGATTTAAGACCTACCGTTTAAGTCATAAGCTGTTAGCGGATATTGCTTATTATATCCTTAAAATTTGTTGTTTTGTTTTATTTTTAATAGTCATTATATCAATTCACATATATTTTTTTTTACTTGGAAACTCAACTTTTGTTCGTAAAGAGCAATAGCTGAGTTTCTTATCCGATCTTCTCAGCTAAAAATGCATTCCGAACTGGGCAGCAGATTCGTAAAGAAAAATATTTTTTAAAAATGCTTATAATTAAGTTTACTTGAATAAATATTATTTCTATTTATTTTGATGGTTGTCAATTTAGTTGTATTTTTTTATGTTTTTTTTTTATACAACTTAGAATGTCAAACAAGCTGACGGCCCACCTGATGGAAAGTGGTAACTGTCGCCAATAGACTGTAAATTCACGCAATATGATCCATGTGAAAATTACTCTCTTGGAGCAAGGATTAGTGAATCAATTCGAATGTGTTCTCTCATTTTCCATGGCACCTGGGTCTTGTGAGGTTTCAGATCCGCCATACGTGAAAACTTTAAATGACAATTACATCTTTCTTGAAGATACATCTTTCATTTTATAGAAATATTACAATTTATTTTCACTAAAGCATAAAAAAACCCAAAAATTATGTATCACCTGCATCTTCCAAATATTACTTTAAGAATCAATAAATTAAATGAACAAAAAGCAATAAATAAATACAGTCAATAATAAATACTTTTGTACCATTTTTTTTTTTCTAAATGAAGTAGATCTGCAGACCTATACAAAGCAAAACGCAGGAAATTGTTCGCAAATGTAGATGTAATGTCCAGGAAATACCTTAAACAATGTTTTGCCTCATAACACCACAGACAATTAAATTAACAACTGATAGATGACTACAATTAACTACACCATATATATATTACAATTCACTATTTATCGATATAATTTTATTGATAGTTACAGCTCTATATTTTTCCTCCACATTAAATCAAATTGAAATATAATATATAAAAGAAAACTTTAATTTTTTCCGGGAAATGTTAATAACTTAATACTAAAGATATATACTTCGATAAACCTAAATATAAAAAAAATAATCTTTTGGGTGGATGAACTGGGCGTCCCGATCGTGTGCGAAATTTAGCTAAAGTTAATTAGGGTATTTTTAACAATCCATTAACGTCCTAGTATTGAACACGGGTCGCCATAAAATAGGATATAGCCTAATAATTACCACGCTGCTAAAGTAGCTTGGTTTTATTTCGTTTCGTTCTCTAGTATGGATGGACTGTATTTTGTGCCCTTATCCCCTCTTACGACTAAAACTGGTTCGAAGACCATAAATCTTTTAATCGTTAATTAACAAGTTAACAATTTGTTAACCTCTAAACTTAACTTTAAAAATTGTTAACGGAATTATAAATTTGTGATTACTTTGCATAAGTATAATTGTGTATCCATGTATAACTTTACAGTTAATTTTATACATCCCCTAGATGAGGCATCCACATCATCACACATCATCATTCCACAGTGATCCTCCATTGACATCAATTTTATGTTATTCGTTTCAGCTCATGTCGTATAACAAGGTCAAGGATATGGCCTGGGATAGAACTGGCTGGAAGAAAGTGCATGAATTAGTTGTACCGACAAGAGGAAACTGTTAAATGAAAAGAGACAGTTTCAGCTCACTCCACATCTTCCTTACGCTATACCGATCTATTTATTTTATTATAAATAGCTGTCTTATTTCCATGCTAACGAATTCAATTTTGTTTATAAGCCCAGAAATAATTGCCGCTACCAATTCACTGGCTCCCTGGCGAAAAAATTGACAACAAGGTTTGTGATCCTCAAGAGACTACAGCATGATACTGGGGAATTCTTCAAAATGATGGGCGATAAAGAGGTTTCTTCAGGATCGGCGACGAGCGTATAATAGACTGCTGTCGTAACCACTCGTGATGACCATCAACAGCATTAAACGCTTTTTGGTGCCGTATGTCTTGATATCCTTTCGCAACAAAGTATGTAGTGGTTCTCAGTGATATAAAAAATAAATAAAAAATCTTAATTGCTTAATACGTAGATACATCAATATTATTACATTGATTTACGTAGACAAAGTTGCAACAAACGGCTACAAATACATTTACTACTACAGCTGTAGGATATTTTTGATATAATTGGATAATAAGACAACGAGCGATCAGCTGGTAAACAGTCATTTTCTTATCAGCCTGATGTTCAATCAAAGAGCATGACATCTTCTGTCAATACACGATACTATAAAGTATATCATAAAAGCGATACGAGCGTTGTTCTTTTTTAATACACGGTGACGCTCCGCCGGTTTTAAAATACCTGTATGTCTCTATCCCTTATATAAAGGGCGTCTGTTCTATGTACAAAATTTTGGCATAATATTATACTGTTACCAAACGCTGTAGTTTACGGATGCTTTGTAAGTTCCTTTACCTTTTTTATACCCACTGTTAATGGATACCTATCTATGTACAGGCTAGAGAAATGCTAAATCTATACCTTTTTTTTATAAAACTTAGAATGGCAATCAAGCTGACGGCCCATCTTGATGCAAAGTGGTAACCGTCGCTTATAGACATGAACAGTACGCATGGACATAACAGATAAAATATACTGTTTCACCCTTATGATTACCAACCATACGAACACTTTTCGCACACATACGTTGCCATTAACACCACAATTATCACAAGAGATAACCGACTCGAATGCGATGTTATTCCTCTGTACGTCCGGCTCCTAAATTCACGCCATATCCGCGTACAGCCCTTCAAACCGAAACACAGCCATGCAAACACAACTGCTTCGTACGATAGAAACACGAATGGGACACAGGTACCGCGCAGCATATTCTGATCGATTTTCTTACCGAAAGAATTTCTGCCTCTATATGTTAATACATATATAAAAATTCACTGTATCCCGATCTTTAAATATGCTAATCTCCGTGAAAATTTTATCATTTTTAAACAATGTATCTGATACTTCGAATTACTTGAAAGATATAGTGTAATTTTTTTCGCGATAAAGAAATTAACCTAGTAAATGGTGATAGGGACATCAAACGATGTTTGCAGAATCCGTTAGTAGCATTATAGGTGTGAAAGATAACTTGCTTGCTGTTCGTTTAATACTGCATATTAAACAGAACTATTTTTAATAAAACAAAAGTTTTTAAGATGATAAGATATTTCGACTTAATTTGCAAATTAAACAAGGACTTTTTTAAACAACAAAATGGGTTTAATATAAATATAAAGAAACTATCTATCTATCTATTCAACTAAGAACAATCCATTAACGTCTTGTCCATAAAATAGGATATAGCCACGCTAAAGATTTTCGAGTCGTTCTCTAGTATGGATTGATTTTGTTCCCTTAATGACCAATAACGTATATAGAATAATAATTAACAAGTTAACAATTTTAACCTAAACTTAACTTAAAAATTGTTAACGGAATTATAAATTTCTGATTACTTTGCATAAGTATAATTGTGTATCCATGTATAACTTTACAGTTAATTTTATACGATAGGACCGCCTATCACACATTCATTCACCGTGATTGTTGACATCAATTTTAATTGCTTGTATCTATAATAAGTTTACTATTGTAATCTTTTGGAGGAAACAATAAAGAGTATCTATCTATCTATCTTAAACGAAGATTACCTTATATTGTATATATTAATTTGACGTCTTTTACAAATTTCAGAACTAAATTAACTCATTAACTCATAGTTTTAGTCTACTAAATCCCAATGTTTTGGCCAGTGAAATATTTAAATTATTTAAAGTGCCTATATGAAACTTTATCGTAATTATTTGTATCTATTTTTTTAATGGATGAAAATGGAATGATAACCCCATTTTCTTATCGCGCTAACGGTATACATCGACGAGGCACCAGTTTTCTGAAGATGATAGATGAGAATGAATGAGCCCAATACACGCTCCGATCGTGTATGCTCTATCCCTTATATAGTCTGTATGTAATGGCATAACCACCATGGTGAATTCGACAAGAATTTTTTAACCATGATGGTTTCTAAGGGGAAATGCTAAACCTATACCTTTTTTTTATAAAACTTAGAATGACAATCAGAGGCCGACCTGATGCAAAGTGGTATATTATAGACATGAACAATGGGGACATAACAGACCATCATTACCTAACAATCCCTTTCCCCCTAAGTTTACTATTGTAATCTTTTGAAAGAAACAATAAAGTGTATCTATTTATCTATCTAGCTTAGTTACTTATAAAAATCATAAATTAAGTCGGGTAATTAATAATATAAATCCACGCATGTCTAAATGTTACGAATCGGAGTTACTTTTATTAAATAACGATCCTATAGCCACATAAACATTGCATATATGGGATAGAGCCCTTGGATAGCTGTAAAGCGTATTTTAAATAAAATAAAAATTCTAACAGTTGCTTCTATTTATATAATGGAATGTGAAATATTCATAAAGACACAGCCACAAATATTTCCAACAAATTTCCAACAAAATAATTCACTTTCAATCAACACTTTCATCAGCAAATATTTCCTGTTTAATAATTTGAAAGTGTAAATGCTATATTATTGCTGTCACTCTGTGAAAATAATATTGTAATTCCGCGCATGTTAAATTAAAAGTGATTACTCGCGCGGTTAGCTATCAATAGGTACTTTCACGGATTCTTAGCTGTGATATCGAGCTTAGGTTCAGCATTTTTATACAAATGTAAATCTTCTTGATAACTACTTTATTTATATTTTTTTTTTAGATAAAAATTGATAAATCGGAATAATATAATTCCGCCTGCGCTATCGGAGTTATACGCTGGCGGAGTACCATATGACAGAACCCTGATAGGTGAGAAAATAAAATAAAAATTCTAACAGTTGCCCTATTATGGATG